CTGTAGCTCAAGTGGTAGAGCGCTCGCCTTGAGCTGAAGAGCTGAGGAACAGTGCCCAGGCCCAGAGTTCAAGCTCCACGACCGACCAAAAAAAAAAAAGAAAGAAAGAAAATTAAATAATGTGCAAGGCATGGCAGTACACACTTGTAATCACAGCATTTGGGACCATGAGAAAAGAAGACTGAGTTCAAGGACTGCCTGGGCTACATAATAAGACCTGCCTAAAACAAACAAACAAAAGGATTAAAAAATAATACAAGTGACAATATCCTATGGCAGATCGTTCTAATACAGCAGTTGTCTCTAGAACTCAGGTCTCCTGGCCCTCATTTTAGTGTTAACCCACCATAGCAACAAACTTACATTGTAAGACTTGATGGTGCTGCTCAAAATCTCTGAAACATAAAAAGAAGACAGGGTTAACTTGAATCCTTGCTTTGGCCACAGCCAAGTACCCAGATGTGGCCTTGGGTAAGAGAGATAGCCATATGTAAGCTTTAGTATCTCAGACCAGAGTCCACCCTGCTTTCAGTCTGGCACCAGGAAGCTGTGGGCCAGCCTGGTATAACTCAGTAATCACAGTCAGACCTACCAATGGAGTTTTCCCGAGCACACAGCTTGCACTTCTGGACCATGGAGGCACTACCACGGCCTCCCTTTAGGGCCACACTGTCCTGGCAAGAAGCAAACAGAACCTCTAGTCACATGTCAAGTAATCACAGAACCTCAGGAGATCCCAACCCATCATTTATTACCAAATTGAAGAGATTAAGAAACAGAGGTAAGTGACTTGCTAAGGACAGAAATCCTGGGGATTGGGATTGGGGATGTGGCTCAGTGGTAGAGCACATGTTTATGACCTGCAAACCCCTCTATTGAAACTCCAGGGTACATTAAAAAAAAAAAATCTTGGGAAGGCTTCCTGAGAAGGAGAAAAGGTCTTTCTCTTAATTGGGAACTCTGCCCAACATCCCACAGGTATTTGTTGTTTATCATGTTGATCAGTGATACCTGCCCCTCAAACCACAAGAAATGAGGTCCAGGGGACTGGAGAGATGAGAACCAGTTTCCCCAAATCCCCACCCAGAGGGTTTGGGGGGGGGCTGGTGACAGGGTAGAAGGACAGTTACCATCAGCCGGATGTATTGCCACTTCTCTGAAACCTCACCACAGTTGCCACATTTCATCTTGGGAAAAAGAAGGGTATTAGTAAAGCAGCTGGCTTAGTTGGGGAGACACTGGGGGAAGGATAAGGACAATGGGAAGCAGGCAGAAGCCTACTGTACCTTCTTGTTGTCACTTCACATTTACAATCAGCCCCCACAAGGACATCTGGCTTATCTCCAGGCACGGCAAAAGTCACTGTTCTTATGTGTTCTATCTGGCTGAGGATTCAAGGCTTATGCAGTACTGAAAGGGCCTAAACAGGACCCTTACTCTAGCTAAGTTGCTTGGTTAAGAGCTTTCAGTTAGTCCTTGACTTAATTATTCATCACTGCTGCTCCTCACAGACTATCTAACTGAAGAAAAAATGACTCCCAAATAAACCTTGGAACTCAGGCTTCAAAATATTTGGAATGAAAGTGGTCAAAGGTAACTTTCTGAAATATAAGAGCTTTTGATGGGTGTGGAAAGCTGCTGAGATTTAGACTAGGGTACAAAGCAGAACTTCTGGGATCCAGGACAGAGAAGGACCTTACACTATTCAGAAGAGGGCCCTGGCAGACTGTGTCACTGGAGTGCCGGGCTTTCCAGTATGAGTAAGGGAAATAAGGGTGGGTCATGCACAAAATAAAAAACCAGATCAACCAATAAGAGTGGTGAATTTATTCACATTAAATAGTTGCAAAGTCTCTTTGAGAAGCATTTTAGTGTCTGTTTACACATCACGAAATAGTTAAATAGGGGGGAAAATGTGAGTTCCAGGGCTTTTGGTTAAAGATTAACCAATAAATCTAATATTCTGGCCAGAAAAAAAAATCGGAACATTTGTTACATGAAATATTTCCCAATCTTAAGGCGCTGAAGGCTGGGGGGAGGGGAGGAGGCACTGCCGCCGGATGTCCCGCCTCACCTTCAGGTACCACCGGAAGTCCTCGCCCACCGGCCGCAGATTGGTGACATTTTCCAGCGAGGCCTTGAGCTGCAGCGCGATTTTCTGAGGGGAGGGGTTCCAGTCTGACCACCCCGCCCCTCCCACCCGGGCTCGGCCTTCCTCCCTCTCAACGCCAGCCCCCCTCTACTCTTCATTCCCCCACCCCGCGGTGAGCTCGACATCCTCGCCATCTCTCCAGCCCGGCTGCCCCGGGAAGCGGGCCGCCTCCTCCTGTCTCCCCCTTACCCCCATGGCGTTCAGGCTGTACGCGGCGACCGCTGCTTTCCGGCCAGTCGTAAAAAGCGGGCGCCGTCGCTGCCTGCACTGCCTCAGTGAGGGGCGGGGCCCGGGAGGGGCGGGGCCCGGGAGGAGAGGGGCGGGGCCCGGGAGGAGAGGGGCAAGGCCTTTCCTCCTGAGCAAACCCTAGGCTGCTTTTACCTCGTGGGTATCGGGGTCCTGCCCGGTCCCGCCCCGCCCCGGTTAGGTGAGCGGATGTCCGTGCTTGACGGCCCGGTTCCTGCCTCCCAAGTCCGCAATGCCACAGATGTTAACTGAACCCCGATTTTGTGCGGGCACAAGACAGCCTGCCGGAAACCTCCGCCAGGTCTCCTGTTCTTTCCTACTATTCTGCCTGCTCAGAGGCTTCTCTGATCTCTTGGGTCCCGCTGCCCAGGGCCGCCAGGAAGGTTTGGATGGTGCCTCGTCAGCTCTTCGCTTTGCTTCTCTTCGGGATGCTGCCCCCAGTCTGGGCCATGCCCTTCAGCTGTCACCTTCTGAGGCCACACCGTGAATACCACGCGGAGGCACAGCTTACTTGTCTCGCAGCATGTGTCGATTTGGAGTGACTTCATGTCTGCTTTACCACCAGGTTGCCCTGTAGCTCCTAAGTAGACCACACAGGAGACGCGCTGGTCAGGCAGGACCCTTGATGTCAGATGCAGGCTGCCCCTAGCTTGTCCGGGGCAACAGAGTGGAGCGGGAAAGGAATTGCTTTAGGAACGCCTGGGACCTTGTCCGGAGCTGGACTGTCTCTAGCCAACCAGCTACTTGCCTAAAGAAGCCACAAATTTTTTAAAGAAAAACAAAAATTTTCTATTGTTCTTGTAGGTTGTGTTTGTCTTTGCTTTTGGGGGGGGACACGGAGGGTGAACAAATGCAGCACGGTACAGTATTTAATATGTACTATGTAAAAGATAAGCTATGCTACTTGTGGGCAGGGATGGGAGGGGGAAACTGGGGGGAAATGAAGGGGTGACATTGTCCAAAAAGAATTGTACTAATTACCTACTTATGGTATGGTAACCCCTCTGTATAACATCCTACGGATGTATCAGGATTTCTTCAGAAATCCTCACACGGTATGTATTGGTCTGTTCTTAGTGACTTATATAGATATTTCTACACGACTTTTAAAAACCCAAGTACTATTTTACCCCTAAAAAAGCAAACAGTATTTGGTTGGGAAGATAGCTCAGTTGTAGAGTGCTTGCCTAGCATGTGCAATGTAAGGGGGAGAGAGGGAGTTAAAAGTTAAAAGGTTCAGATAAACACATTTTCTTAATGATATTAATATACATTTCCTCATCATGATCCAAACATTACGTAATTGTTTTGTGATGCTAAGGTAAAATCTAGTGCCTTATGCATGTTGGGCAAGTGTTCTACTACTGGGATAAACCCCAGCAACTAAAGACTTTCAGGTCTCCTTTTTATAGGTTCTGTTTCCCTTGTTTATTTAGGAAATTGAATGACCTGCCCTGGAATTTTCTCTGAACATTACTGACTTGATTATTTTTTTGTCATGGGGCTTGAACTCTGGGCCTGGGCACTGTCTCTGAGTTCTTCAGCTCAAGGTGAGAGCTATACCACTTGAGCCACAGCACCACTTCCAGTTTTCTGGTGGTTAGTTGTGAAATAAGAGCCTCACTGATGTTCCTGCCCCAGCTGGCTTTGAACCATGATCTTCAGATCTCAGCGTCCTGAGTAACTAGGATTACAGGTGTAAGCCACCAGCACCTGGCCTGACTTTATTTTAAAATGTAGTATTTTCCTATTATTTTTGTAAGTGGTAGTTTTGGGACAGTGGGTTATTTTTTGTTGTTGTTGTTGGGCTTGAACTCAGGGTAGATGCTGTCCCTGAGCTTTTTCTTTTTTTGGGGGGGGGGGTCTGGTTGTGGGGCCTGAACTCTGGGCCTGGGCGCTGTCCCTCAGCTCTTCAACTCAAGGCTAGCGTTCTACCACTTGAGCCACAGCACCACTTCCTGCTTTTTTTCTTTTTGCTTATGTGGTGCTGAGGAATCGAACCCAGAGCCTCATGCATGCAAGTCAAGCGTTCTACCACTGAGCCACCTTCCCAGCCCCATCCCTGAGTTTTTTCATTCAAGGCTAGTACCCTACCACTGAGCCACAGCTCTACTTCTGGTTTTCTGGTGGTTAACTGGAATAAAGAGTTTCATGGACTTTCCTGCCCAGGCTGGCTTTGAACCATGATTTTCATTCGAACCACCGTGACCCTCAGAGCTCATCCTCCTGAATCCTAGGATTACTGACATAAGCCACCAGTGCCTGGCTTCTGGTTAGATTTATTTTTGGCAATAATTCACACCGTGTAGGTTTTCACACATATAGGTCTTTAGAAAGCAACAAATTTGCCGGGCGCTTGTGGCTCACACCTGTAATCCTAGCTACTCAGGAGGCTGAGATCTGAGGATCACGGTTCAATGCCAGCCCAGGCAGGAGAGACCGTGAGACTCCTATCTCCAATAAACCACCAGAAAACCGGAAGTGGCGCTGTAGCTCAAGTGGTAGAGCGCTTGCCTTGAGCTGAAGAGCTGAGGAACAGTGCCCAGGCCCAGAGTTCAAGCCCCACGACCGACAAAAAACAAAAAAAAAAGAAAGCAACAAATTTAATTTCATCACGTATTTATTAAAGACAATCATTTATAGTCTATAAAAAAATTTGCCCAATATACACAAAATTTCCTGATAATGGTAATTAGAAAGAACTACTCCCCTCCACCAGGTCCACACCAATATTCAGTCTAGATTGGTTTAATCTTGAAGTGTAACCCAATAAGACTGAAGACCAAACACTTCAGGTCCTGAACAAGATAATAAAATACTCGTAAGCCTTCTGGATCTCTAAAACATAAAGGAAAAAAAGAGTTTAGAGAGCTGTAAAACTGGAAGAAAAGGAAAAAAAAAACAACCATTTATTATCTACCAAAATGTTCCCTATCAAGGTGTATAAACTACATTAAAACTTTGATCAAACTAATGTCCATAAAGAAGGAAAAGGTCACATATTAACAGAAACTGATCATGGTAGTCACGCCTGTAATCTCAGCTATTTTGGAGATGGAGACAGGATTAATCATGGTTCCAGGTTAATCAGGTAGAAGTTAGGGAGATCGTAGGTAAAAAGGTAAAAACAAAAGGGCTCAGAAAGCATGAAACCCTGGGCTCAACCCCCTAGTATTATCTAAATAAATAAATACCTTGAGGTAAGTTAAAGATTTTTAATGGGGAAATAAAAAGGAAAAAGCTAGTGATAAAAAATTAAAATCTCAATTTGTATTTGTTTGTGCTTTTTGTTAAAAAACTTTTTGCCAGCACTATGGCTTTCTTGCTTACTGCTGGTGCTTTATCACTTTAACTTGATGGAGTCTAGTGAACTTTTCTGAGATCCCCTAGATCTCAGCTTCCTCTGTGTATGTGTATGTTTGTTTTTGAGACTGTCTCAAAATATAGTTCAAGTCCAAGTTGGCCCTGAATCTCCTGCTTTAGCCTCTGGCCTCCAGTCATTTATAGTTATGACAACTAAACTTCTGCTTTGACCTCCTAAGATTGCATGCATTTCCACAATGTCCAGCTCCTATGTATTTTTTAATGCAGAGGAAAAAATATATACTAATAAACATTGTCTAATTGACAAAAAAAAGCAAATCTTTCAGGTCTACTTTTCTGTATTTCCTATAATAAGCATATATTACTTGTGAGATTCAGGGAAAAATGCCTACCAACTTTAAAGCAAAATATTGCTTACTCCAAATCCTTAAAACACAGGAGTCAAAGAGACTGCCAAGTTCTAAGGACTCTTTATGGTACAGAGATTCATGTCTCAATTTTATGATTTACCCCACTGAATTGTATACTTTAGTTGCTTGGCCAATATTTCATCTACTGTTCTGTCTGCTCCTTTGTGACTCTCTTGTGTCACTGACAAGTTTTTAGTCACCATGACTGAATGAAACCTAAACGTAAAGGCAGCAACTTTGAATATTCATAGCAACAATCAATGGACTTTCCCTCTATGGGTAAAAATCTTCTTATGTCTATGATGGCCCATCATAGTGAACACACCTAGACTTTTTTGTCATTATGCCCTAAACAATGTAGTTTAACAACTATTTACACAGCACATTGTATTAGGTATTCTAAATAATCTAGAGATTATTTAAAGGAAACACTGTACTGTTTTCTGAGACTTGAGTGACCACAAACTTGGTCTGAGGGGTTCTTGGAACCAATTCCCTGTGGCTACTGATGTACAACAACAATTTGGAGTCCCTTTCTCAAGAGGGGGAAAATTCTGCCCACTTCTGTTTTGCATTTGCACCACATCTTCCTATAATGGGCTGGTCCAAGTTGGCTGAGAGTTTCTTAGCAATCTGCTCTAAAACAGTCAAATCTGATATAAGGATCATATATACTTACTTGGATTGATTGACATCAATAAGAGAACCAATTTTTGATGTTGTGAAAGAAATGTGCTCATCTCCAATGACGATCTCAAGCTCCTAGAAACAGTAATAAAAAAAAATATCTACGTTGGGCAGAAATAAATCATTCATTAGGGGAGAAAGACTCATTTGTTACCCAAACTCTATTATAGATAGCTCCAAAAGCAAGGGCAGCTTACTAAAAGCACTAAATTATTAAGCACTAGAAATAAAGACAACACTGTTTAGCCCTTGAGAAGATCAGCCTCTCAGGGCTCCAAGACCTCTGAGATTTATAAAAATTTACACACAGTTTTGTGTATGTGTTTTCATTGTAAGCAAGGAAGATAGATTTCTTTTAAAAATACCAAAGGACCCAACCTTTCTTGGCAACATGGGACAAAGGAAATGATTCCAGACACTTAGTTTGATCCCAACTCTGTCACTTACTAGCTGTATGATTTGGGTGGAGTCTTAATTTCTAAGTAGTTACAGAAGCCCAACAAACCTTCAAAAAAGTCCCTGGGGTACCTGCTGGGCCATTTATTTTTCCCAGGACTTGGGAACGAAGAGGTAAGACAAACAAACCAAATGAAGATCTCTGCCCTCATAGAACTTATGTTCTAGTGATACCCCCCATCCTTCCCTCCCTCCTTTCCCTTCATTTCTTTTTCCTTCCTCCTTCTCTTTCCTGTCCTTTCAAGCCAATTATGGGGGTGGAACTCAGGGCATCATGCTCAACTTGCTTGCTCATGGCTAGTGTTGTACCACTTGAGTTTCAACTCCAGCCTGGCTTAATGCTGGTTATTTTGAAGATGGAGTCTCAGACTTTTCTGCTGATCCTCTAGGTCTGTACCTCCTGACTAGCTAGGATTATAGGTGTGAGCTACCAGCCTTGGAGATTTTTTCTTCTTTTTAAAAGAAATAGCACAGGAAAATCTTATCTCTGATTAAATACCAAAAAGCTGGAAATAGAGCTGTGGCTCAAGTGGTAAGAGTGCTAGCCTTGAGCAAAAAAAGCTCAGGGACAGCACCTAGGCCCTGAGTTCAAGTTCCAAGACCAGCTTGCATACGTGCGTGTACACATGCACGCACACGCGCGCACACACACACACACACGCACAAATGAAAATGTCAAAAAGTTTGCACTCGGGCTGGGAAGGTAGCTCAGTGGTAGAGTGCTTGCTTTGCATGCATGAGGCCCTCGGTTCCATTCCTCAGCAGAACGCGCAGAAGTAGCCCTGAGGCTCAAGTGGTAGAGCGCTAGTCTACAGCTGAAGATCTGAAGGACAGAGTTCAGGCCCCAAGCCCGACAAAAAAAAAATAAAATAAAGTTTGCACTCATCTTTCATTCTATTCTCCTAAAAGTTGAAAGCCTCTATAGGACAATATGACAACAACAAAACCCCAAACTAATATATTTTACAATTTTAATAAACATAATCACTACTGAGCTCTTACTATACAGTGGTACTATTTTAATTAATAGATATACAGCAGTGAAAAGAATATGTTAAATTTTATATATATTTTACCATATGTATATAATATTTGTTATAATATAGAAGAGCTCAGGGATAGCACCTAGGCACAGAGATCAAGCTCCAGGACTGACAGAAGAAAAAAAAAAAGTTCTCAACCAGGTGCTGGTAGTTCATGCCTATAATCCTAGCTACTCAGATGGCAATCTGAGAATCATGGTTTGAAGCCACAACTGGCAGAAAAGCCTCTTATCTCCAGGTGACTACCAAAAAGGCAGAAATGAAGGAGTAGGTCAAGTATTAGAATACCAGCCTTCAGTGAAAAAGCCAAGTGAGAGCTTAAGGCTCTGAGTTCAAGCCCCAGTGCCAGCATAAAGAAAAAAAAAATCTTTCACTTGAGGGTCAGTTGTAGTGAGAGGATAAGAAAAGTAAATGCGGGGCTGGGAATGTGGGTCCGTGGTAGAGTGCTTGCCTAGCATGAATGAAGCTCTGGGTTCGATTCCTCAGTACCACATACACAGAAAAGGCCAAAAGTGGTGATGTGGCTCAAGTGGTAGAGTGCTAACCTTGAGCCAAGAAGCTCAGAGATAGTGCCCCAGAACTGGCAAAAAAAGAAAAGTAAATGCAATGTTTTTAGACAATGACATAATGAACACAATAAAACAGGTCTTATTTGTAAAAAAAAAAATTATTGGAAGCATCTTCTTAAGACTGGATGGACAGACAAGATGGCACCAAGGAAGTAACATTTGAATACCTCAATAATAGGCTGTACAGTGTTAAAAGAAGTATAGTTTAGGCAGAAGGCAGACCAGTGCACAGGGCCCACTAAGAACAATCAAGGTATGTCTGGGAATAGCAATGAACCAGTGAAGTCAAATAGAAATATTTCCTGTTAATTCACCTAAATATGACAATAGCTTTTTTTCACTCAAATATGACAGTGGCAGTTTTGTAATTACCCCGGTGGTCTTGAGAATGATCACACAAGCTGTGATTTGAATACTTAGCTACTTATGATTTTTCTTCCACTAGACTGTTGAAATAATTATGTTCTATTTACTTTGTGCTCTCCACAATGCTTTGTTCTAGCAGTTTACATGGTAAATAAGGTAGACAGCAAAACCTTTGAGAAGACAGTGGTATTTCACAAGAAGAAATTCAGAGTTAGGCCATAGCTGGCCAGCCATACCACTTGCTCCTTCTGGTCCTAATTATGGAATTAATGTTCCCTCTGACCAAAGTGCCGGCAATCTGCTTCATGCACATCGCAGAAACACACCATAAGTGAATTCAATGTCATGTGCAGAAAAATAAACTTTATCTTCCAAGACTTCTTTCCTACAAGTATAGTCAATAAACACACTCACTTGTCGGCCTACTCGGTCAGGGGGAGGCCATAAAGCATCATCCTCTTTGGTAATTTCACTGTCATCAATTATTCTCTTCAGTTCCTCCATCACACTTTTATGTACATAAGCCTGAAATTAAAATTAAAAAAACAAACAAACAGAATTTAGGTTGTATCCCTAAGCAACACACTTAGAAAGTGATAGACAATAAGAACCACTGCTCTTGAAGACCTATCTGGGGCACCTCCTTAACTGGAAAGACATTTATGCTTGACTCTAACATGCTGAAATAAGAGGTCAGGTTAGAAGCACTCATTGACAATACTTCAGCTCCCCAGCTACTTATTGACACATTGGTTCACCCATGTGGAAAGTCTGTAAATCATTCCTGCTATGTTTTGAAAGTTTGTTCACCCTCCAAAATTTACATTAAAACATAATCTCAAGGCAACAGTGTAAGAGTTGGGATTTTAGATTATACCACAAGGGTAGAAGGACTCAAGGCAATGAGCTGCCCCCATTTTGTTCTTAATGCTTTGTAAGGACACAGAATTTGCTATTTTTGGAGGATGCAGCAACAAAAAAACATCTTGAAAGCAGATACTGGGTCCTTATCACACACTAAACCTGACAGAGGCTTGATCTTGACCTTTACTGAGAGAGACAAGGTATCACTATAGACTAGTATTACTTGAACACAATTTGTGTCCCCCCAAAAGTCAGTAGTAACTGATTTATTGTTGTAAAAGAAAATAGCAGCCAGGCACTGGTGGCTCACACCATAGCTACTCAAGAGGCAGAGATCTGAAGATTGTGGTTCAATGCCAGAGCCCAGGCCCTGAGTTCAAGCCCCATGACCGACAACAACAACAAAAAAAGGAGCTAACAGAACTAATGTACCTGTTTATAAATACTGGTCTACTTTTCTATTCTTTATCCCTAGAAAGAACAGGAAAGGCTAAACTGAAAAGAAGGGAAAGTCCATACCTCTTTTCTGATCATGACATCATTTTTGTAATTGCTGTTGTTGGCATATCTTAATTTCCCTATGAAAAACACAAAATATGTGCAATGAACAATAAGAACATATGAACAAAAGATCATTGAACTCCCAAGACTATTAGCTTTGCCCAAACTATATCCTGTTCTTCAAAATGTCTAACAGATTTACTACTTGTACCCATGGTATTCAACCACTTTAGTCTTTTCAGTCCTTCACTTTGGGCTATTAAACACCTGCCAGATGCCATCTAACTACAGTGTAGCTACAGTTCAAGAAAAAGGGAGTCCCCAGGTACTGGTGGTTCACACCTGTAATCCTACTACTCAGGAGGCTGAGAACTGAGGATGGCAGTTCAAAGCCAGCCCAGGCAGGAAAGTCAGTGAGATTCTTCTTTCCAATTAACCACCAGAAAACTAGCAGTGGCGCTGTGGCTCAAAGTGATAGAGTGCTACCTTAAGCAAAAGAGCTCATGTACAGCACCCAGGTCCTGAGTTCATCTGACATCCCCTCCCCCCACAAAAAAGTGAGGCAACTATGGTGTGGTAAAAGGACACAAACAGGCTGTTTTCTGACTTTGACAAATTACATTTTTGCAGGTTAATGCCTTCAACTAAAAATTAGGAAAACTGATAAATTATCTCAAGAGGATATGCGTTCAGGAATTGAGTTGTAAAAGCATTGTGAAAACTGTAGAATGCTGCTTGAATGTTTTTTAAGCTTTCCCCCCTATTTTCTATTATTATCTCCAAATAATTATATTAATAGCTTTCAATTTAACATATCTGTTAGTACAATGCATCTTGCTCAGTGTCACTCCTTCTGTCATTCCCCCTCACCTTTCCATCAATCTTTCACATCTCAAGTTTCCCATTTTCGTTTTCATGTACAAACTATTTACCTGTATTTTCATGTGACCATGAAACATGGATTTATTTCTGTGAGAGAAACGTTGTGTTCTTATCATTTGAGCACATTTGGCACATGTATAACCAAAGGAATAGTGTGGGTATATGGTGGGGATGGAGAACATAAAGAAAATACAACACATGATTTTTCCACGGTAGAGAAGACATGTGAAAAAAGACAAATAATTTATTCTACATCTCTGCACCATTTCTCTTCCTTAGATCTCTTTTCAGTTCATTCTCCAGATGATGGACAAACATTGTCTGGAGATATGTAGAAACATCTAATTAAATTATTCTAATACTGAGGCTGCAAATGGCTTCTCTTTGCCTTCCTGACAAAATATAAAGTCCTTAACATGACATACAGCTGAGCTGAGGTCCTGCCTGCTGGTTCAGTTTACTCTTGCAATATTCTCACACAGATGGAATCAATAAGCCTACTGTTTCTGCCTGAGCCATTCCATGCATCCTTTGGCCTCCGGCTTCTTTGCTGTGAATGCTGTCCAAAACAAGCTTCTTCAATCTTAAGTTTCCTAATCAACTCCTACCATGTACATACACACTGCAAATTTTCTATGCCTTTCAGGATCACTAGGAGTTTCTTGTATTTGTCTCTCATCTGGCTTTGAATCACAATCCTCAGATCTCAGCCTCCTGGGTATCTAGGATTATAGGCATGAGCCACCAGCGCCAGACTTCAGTTGCAATTTTTTATTTTTCTGCCAGTCCTGGGGCTTGAACTCTGGACCCGGGCACTGTCCTTGAGCTTCTTTCGCTCAAGGCTAGCACTTTACCCCTTGAGCCACAGCGCCACTTCCAGCTTTTTTCTGTTTATGTGGTACTAAGGAATCGAACCCAAGGCTTCATGCATGCTAGGTAAGCACCCTACCACTAAGCCACATTCGTAGCCCTCAGCTGCAATTTTTTATCATCATGGATTCTCTTCTCTCCAATGCACCCTCCTAAATACCATTAACCAATCAAAGCTAATTGATTCTGCCTCCACCATTTCCGAACTCCTTTACACGTCTCTCCCCTATGGCTTTAACATTGCTACTCGCTCTACAGAATGCTATTCCCAAGCTTCACAAGGCTGGCTTCTCTTAATCTACAATAGGTTCAAACATCCACTCTTCAGAAAGCTCTCTTAAGATACCTTATCTCAAAGCAGTGTGTCCATTAATTATTCCAACATTTTGTTGTCCCTGAACACCCTCTGGAATCATTCTGGTTTACGGTCTCTCCTAGCACTGAAACACAAGTTCTAGGGGAAGGGAAGTTAGTTTAGACAATCTCCTTTACTTCCCCCAACGGACAGAGCAGAACCTGGCACAAGGCAGGCGCTTACACAGCGTCTGTCACAATCTCAGCAATTTGCTTTTTTAAAGTCACTTAATAAACATCCTTGTATGTGGACAATAGAAAAAGCAGACAGCGCTTCCAGCACTACGGCGCGGTTCTCAGTCTCGGCCTCTTCCAGTTCCCGCCCATTCCGGAGCCCAGGCACCCCCAGGCCTGCTTCCAGCCCCCCGCGGGCGAGGGCCACTCTTACCGTCGGGCCGGAACTCAAACTCCAGGAACTCATGACCGAACTTGCCTTTGTGGCCTACATAGTAACGAAGATAAAAGTCACTCTCCATGGTCCACAACCAACCAGAACCGAACTTGACGATCAAACCACCCCACCGCAGCCTGCGCCTGGTACTGACGTTAGCCGCGGCGCGCGGAAGTGACGGAAGACACGGCGTCACTGGCACCATTTTTTAATTGATGGAGGCTGGAACACGCCCCCTCGTCCGGGGCGGGAACAAGATTGCCACGCCCCTCTCCCTGGGGCGGGAACGGAGTTACCACGCCCCCTCGCGTTGGGCCCAGAACCTCGTTGGGCCCAGAACCGCGTTGCCACGCCCTGTCCCAGAGCCCGAGGCAAGAGCCAGGCCCCATCTTGACGGCTCCAGGTCAGGGCCCGCGCCTCAGACCCGCCGTTTATGGGCGGCCTCTGGGCGTCCATTCCGGGATCTGCAGCTTGAAGACTTTGGGCCCAATACTTGGGAGATTGCCACCGGATTCAACTGCAGTTTAAGGATACAGACTTGTGTGAGTCAGACAGGCTTTTCATGTCTGTACTTAAGTTGTCTCCACAGTCAATGGGTTGAAATGACCCAGACTCTCCAGTACACTCCCATTTATGTGTATCAAAAGTTGACTCTATTACCATAGCTAAGATATGGAACCAACCCAGATGCCCCTCAGTAGATGAATGGATCAAGAAAATGTGGTATATAGACACAATGGAATTCTCTGCCTCCATCAGAAAGAATGACATTGCCCCATTTGTTAGGAACTGGAAAGGCTTGGAAAAAATTATATTAAGTGAAGTAAGCCAGGCCCAAAGCAACATAGGTCCCATGGTTTCCCTTATTTGCAATATCTAGTATATGTATGAGTCAAGCAGAAAAGGTCAGATAAGTTGATGTTAGGGAAATGAACCCCAAGATAAGTATTCAAGTTTTTTTTTCTTTCATGCAATTGTTTCTAACATATTTATAAGATGATTTCTATGTTGCTTTGTATATCTCTCCCACACAGTATAACCCCTGCTTTCATTGTATTTGATGTTGGTATAATTTGTGGAGGGGAGGGGCAAAAACAAATCATTTAACTAGGGATACAGGTGGGCCCATTGCAACAATGAGATGTACAAGTCGTTATGTCTAAAAATGAACTTCACAACTTTGGTGGGGGGGGAGGATCAGGTGGGGGGAGTTAGGGGGAGTATGAGAAGGGAGGAGAAGGGGAAACAAAGAGGAGGCAACAATGCTAGATAAGAAATGTACTCATTATCTTGCCATGTAATTGTAACTCCTCTGTATGGTATTCTCACACACACACAAATGGACTCTAATTCAAAGATGGTTGTTAGTTTGGATCTTACCTGTGTGTGCATTGGGCTTGAACTCAGGGACTGGACTGGGTACTGTTCCCTTAACATTTTTGCTTAAAGCTGGTGTTCTACCAGTTGAGCCACACTGCTACTTTTCAGCTTTTTGATGGGGTTAGAGTATATTAGCCTTTACCAGAAAATTACACAGACCTCCAGGTACACAGAACAAAGAAAAGGTTTATTGCCAGTGAAGGGTCCAGCTAGACCCCTTCTCACAAGAGAGAAGTGCCAGCTATTGTCTGAAGTGACCTATATAATGTAGGAGGTCTGGGAGGGGCTAGAAGGGGCTAGGAGGCAGAGACCCTGATGTGGATGTGAGGACCAGGGGTAGACTAGGATTTATCACTGCTGCCCAAGTAGTAGTAGGGGCCCTGATGCTCACCAGACCTGAGAGTCACTCTGAGGGGATCTTACTGCCTTATATGGCGGTAGCTGGGCCAGAGCAGTGCCATCTCAAGGTAGGCTGATTATTTATTGCCTTTATCAAATGGGCCCAGTGTTGCCTAGGAAAGGAACATGCTAAGCTGTGGAGAGGGGAAGGAGTGTGATAAGCTTGGGAAGGGGACTTATTGGGCTAACAGATGGTTAATTGGAGATGAGTTTATGGATTTTCCTGCTCTGGCTGGCTTCAAGCTACCATCATCAGATCTCAGCCTCCTGAGTAGTTAGAATTACAGGTGTGAGCCACCAACGCCTGGCTCCAAGTTAGTACTATTGAGAGGTGGTGGAACCTTTTATTGAGGTAGTGAAGGGTTTTAGCCTATGAAGATGTGACCTTAAAAGGGGCTGTTGGACCAAAGTTCTTCTTTTCTCTTTCTCCCAATTAGGTTTCTTTGACCACATGCTCTCCAGCTTGATGCATTGCTTAGGATGCACAAAACAGTGGGTAAACTGATCATGGACTGAAACCATGATCAAAATAAATGTTTTCTTTGTAAAAGTTGAGTATTTTCTGGCCTTTACTGATCTCTAGGAAATACTGTGCATTGAAATTAAGTTGAATTATTTGATTTTGCACTGCCCAGTCATTCCATTTACGCAGCAGTTCTTAGCTGGAGATTACAAACACTGACACTAAGGCCTCATCTCAAACCCATGAAAACTTTCTCTGGTGAGTCAAGGTTGGGGACCACTGCCCAAGTGAAAGTGCTAACATAGCTTTGCATTCGTAGGAGCTGTCTGTGTTTGAGTAGGTCAAGGACCATCAGAATCCCAACTATAAAAGTCCACTTCAGCTTAGCCAATTTCTAGCTGCGATGAAAGGGATCTAGAGACAGAGCTGAGATAATGTCATTTTTGGGACCTGGGATTCTTTTCATTGTTACTGTCCTGTGAATCAGGCCTGTAGTCTCTGATTCTCATTCCCAGTCTTCAAATTTAGTCCTTTTCTTCCTGAAAAGACATTGGTAGAATATAGACTAGGTATGCTGGGGAGAAAAAAAAGTCACTGGAGATTTGGGTTAAAAAACTCCCATTTAACACCAATCATCAATAAAAACCACTTTGTACAATTATTATAAGAAAAAAATAAGCCAGAGGGTGGCTAACACCTGTAATCCTAGCTACTCAGGAGAATGAGATCTAAGGATCAAGATTTAAACCCAGCCCAGGCAGAAAAATCCCCGAGACATTCTTATCTTCAATGAACCACTCAAAAACTAGAAGTGGAGGTGTGGCTTAAAGTAGTAGAGCACTTGAATAAAAGAGTATAGGGACAGTGCCCAGGCCCTGAGTTCAAAAACACATGAACAGCAATAACAAGTGATTTTCTGTGACTTAGGTGAACAGATTCATTTTAAACTTCAGATGTCTCATTCTGAAACAAGCATCATAGGGCTGTATCTCAGTGGTAGAACACTTTTCAGCATGTAAAAGGCCCTGGATTTGAGCCCCAACACTGTAAAAATGTTAAAATGATCTTGGTTCAAAGCCAGTCCAAGCAGAAAAGTTCTCATGACACTCTTATTTCCAATTAACCACTCAGAAACTAGAAGTGAGCTGGGCACCAGTGGCTCATGCCTGTAATCCTAGCTACTCAGGAGGCTATGATCTAGGGATCACAGTTCAAAGCCAGCTCAGGCAGGAAAGTCCGTGAGACTCTTATCTCCAACTAACCACCAGAAAACCGGAAGTGGCTCTGTGGCTCAAGTGGTAGAGTGCTAGCCTTGAGCTGAAGAGTTGAGGGACAGGGCCCAGGTCCAGAGTTCAAGCCCAACGAATGACAAAAAACAAAACCCCGAAAAATTGGAAGTGGGGCTTAGTGGTACTTGCCTCACATGCATGAAGCCCTGGGTTCAATTCCTCAGTACCACATACACAGAAAAAGCCAGAAGTGGTGCTGTGGTTCAAGTAGTAGAGTGCTAGCCTGGAGCAAAAGAAGCTCAGGGACAGTGCCCAGGCCCAGAGTTTAAGCATGAGGACTGGCAAAAAAAAAAAAAAAACAACCCAAAAACAAAAACAACACAACACAACTCCCCCCCCCCCAAACTGGAAGTGGTACTGTGGCTCACATGGTAGAGCACTAGCCTTGAGAACAAAGCAGCTCTGGGATAGCGCCCAGGGCCTGAGTTCAAGCCCTATAATCAACAACAAAAAAATAAGTAGAGCAAACAGACTAGAAGTATGGCTCAAGCAGTACAACTGTCTAACAAGTGTGAAATTCTGAATGCAAGCCCCAAGTACTGCCTTAACTGCAGATCCCCTTCCCCAATTAAAAAAAGGATTGGAAACTAGTTTTCTATTATAAACTGCTATGAAGCCATGAGATGTCCATGTCAACTCCTGGACTGAGCTTGTTTATGTGTTTGTTCTTTGAATCATCATAAAAACATCTTTTTTTGTGGTACTGAAGTTTGAACTCAGCACCTCTTGCTTCCTAGTCTGGTGCTCTACCACTGAGCCATGTCTCCAGCTTTATTTTTACTGGGTATGCAGTCAGGCATACCTAGACTGTGAATTGTCTACTTTAGGCTTCCCATAGTTGCTGGGATCTGTTCAGCTTCTCTTCCTGAAACATCAATCCTTCTGATCTCAGCCTCCCAAGAAGCCAGAGTTACAAGTCATCAGCACCCAGTGATTATCACAACAATCTACAGATTATAATTGGCTTTAAGTGCATAGAGACATTAGGCAATTGCCACAAAGTTATTTTCCACTAGTGAAATTATAAAAAATTATAATGTAGAGTGAATCTGGGCATCTGTAGATGTGATTAACAATAGTGCTGAGAAATATTAAGGACACTTCACAAAGTCAGGCTATAAAGTAACCTAGATTTTTTTTTTGTTGTTAGGTCATGGGGCTTGAACTCTGGTCCTGGGTGCTGTACCTCAGCTCTTCAGCTCAAGGTGAGTACTCTACCACTTGAGCCACAGTGCCACTTCTGGTACGTAATTGGAGATAAGTCTCACAGACTTTCCTGCTTGGGCTGGCTTTGAACTGCAATCCTCAGATCTTAGCCTCCTGAGTAGGTAGGATTACAAGTGTGAGCCACTGGTGTCTGGCTAACCTAGTTTTTTTTTTATATGAAACATAACATGGTATAGTATACTTGAAAGAGTATGGTTTGAATCTTCAGTGCCTGAATACAGCATTACTTATTGAGCACCTACAGTGTGTCATTTTAGGAAGACAGATCTTTATAGAGCTCGTGGAAGATATAGTTAAGGAGCATATAAGCAATTACAATGTAGGAATGTTACCAATAGAGGAATCATAGAATACACTGGAAACGCATGGGTGGGTCACAATCAGGTCAGGGGACTAAGAAAGCTTCCTGAAGGAAATGTTCCAGATACAGGTCCCAGAATGAAGCAATTAGAATACAGACCTGACGAGGTTGCAGAATGTGCAGAGGGCTTTAAGCACGAAAGTGGAAAGAGATGTTGGTAACATGACCTATTGTATTTTGGAACGATCATTTTGGCTCTTACATTGTAAGATGGATTGGAAAATGGACTAGAAGTATGAAATTGGGAGAAGTAGTTGTTAATCTATGAGAGTGGTTAAATAAGATGATGACTCATACTCAGATAATGGCAATGGAAACAGAAAAAAATGGTTGGATCTGAGATAGATGATCACAATTTAAGGGACAGGGAAAGGAGACTAAGTTGTAGCCAGAGAGGTAGGGGCAAAACCTGTTATGGTGTTCTGGAAGCCAGAATAAAAGTGGTCCAAGAAGAGTGGCAGTGTTAAATATAATTTCCAAGTCAAAGAAAATAAGGACTCAAAGTGTGTGCAAGATTTATAATAGAGGAGGTCTGGATAACCTTGCTAAAAGCAATGTCATTGTCATGTGAGTGTCAAGGGGGAAGTTTTGGAATCCAAGTTGGCAGAAATTAGTATGTTGTTGTTTTTTTTTTTTGTCGGTCGTGGGGCTTGAACTCTGGGCCTCGGCGCTGTCCCTCAGCTCTTCAGCTCAAGGCGAGCGCTCTACCACTTGAGCTACAGTGCCACTTCCTGGCAGAAATTAGTATGGAAGCACAGTTACTAACCCAGACTGAGAGAAGAGGGGAGGCTGGGGTAGAGGCATTACCTAAATGGAGTATTTAAGGACAAATATGAGCCAGACAGAGGCAGGAAAAGAAATCCAAGCAGAGAATACACGTGCAATGGCTCTTTGGAACTACTCAAAATACGTGTACAGTATACACTATTGGGTATGGTGGTGTATACCTGTAATCCCAGCATTCAGGAGACTGGTGCAGAACGATGAGTTTGAGGACAGTCTAGGCTATATAGCAAGGCCTTCTCTCAAAGAAATTAAAAGCAGCAACAACTTCCCTCCCCCCGCCAAAAACAACAACAACAACAAAAACCTTCCATAGCATTATCCCCACTCCCCATTCTCAGTTCCACCCAGACTTGAGCTCCTTACAGCCCAGAGTTCCCTCTCGGATAGCTGGCCAGTTCCTCTCTCTGTCCAGACCTACCTGACACCTGGATAGGGGCAGATGCCATGTTGTTCCCTCTGCAGGGGGATATATGGCTCTTCTAATAAACCTTATAATAATCTTTCTCCTGTGCCTGCCTGTGCATTGTCCTGAGGGGGACCTCGTAATGGATCCTACCACTACCACCAACAAAAAACTGTATGGCACTGGGCAGCTACTTTTCCCATTTTTTTCATTTATAAAATGGGAATAGAAAATACTGAAAGAACTTATTTCACAGGATTGTTGCCAAGACTGAGATGATTTATGTAAAACATTTGGTATACATTAGAGATCCCACCCCTCATTAAAGCATCACAACAAAACAAAATTTACAGATTTAAAAAAATGAGTTTAATCTTTCTCTAGAAAGTGTACTGAGTTTACAAATGTTCACATTTGGTTTTCAGTTCACCAAGATGATGTCAGCACAGCTAATGAGACACAGCACACACCCTTTTAGTCCCTTCTGCCTCTGGATGAGAAGCCAGAGGGCAGAGGCACCAAGTACAGAAGCTAAATGACAAGAACAAAAAGAGAAAGAGTTAATGTGGCCCAACATTCTAACATGCTTGGCTATTACATCAAAATGGTAACTGGGGGTGGGAAGAGACAAACAGAATTTCCATTTGGATACACAGAGATGAAGTTTGCAAACCAGTACTTTAGCCCCAAATTAACAATAGCTTATAAAGAGCAAAATGCTATTTTTTAAAAGAACATGGTTTGTACAGTTTTTTCTGACATTTTTGTAAAAAAAGTATTAAAACCTTGTCTTATATATACTTATACAGGATTTTAAAAAAATTACTGTTTTATAGCACAAATTGTTTGCAAATGCAGCTTCTGCAGATTCTTGACTGTGCACGTGGTGCATAGCCTGAAGAACTTCCTGGTTTTCTTCATATTAACTAAAATTTTGAAGCTGTGATTTTTTTGTTTTAATGTTCTAAATTCTTCAAATTTTCCAGTACCCTAAAAATATAGCGTAAGAAGACTCTGATACTCTTATCTTCATGCATTTATGGGAAAGGAAATTACTTGAGACTAACTCATTGATATTCTGATAAATGTATGGCTGGAGTTTAGGGGTGATCACATTCCTGTGGGGTGTGGGTAGCTCTCTTCCATTCCCACTAGTATCTGTGTGTCCTATGACTAGGATCCCCTCTCCAGCCTCCATGTCTTTTTAAATATCCAGGTTTCTTTATCACACTTGAGAACATCTAAGAGGCTTTGATAACATTGCATGCTTTTGTGAAAATCCTCTTATCCTTAGTTTTCATTAACCCTATCAAAAAAAAAATCTTTAACCCAAGTATAGGAAAGTCAACACCCTTATGTGGCCTTAGGAAAACTTGAAGCCAAATAATGAATGCCAAGTGCTGTCAAGAATGCGCAAGAAACGTTTGCTTAATTAAATCAGAAAGTATTTTATAAAGTGCTTATGTTGAACCTATCATTCCATCCAGCCTCATTTCTTGCTAAGTCTGCTTAAGTCTTTTATTTCAGTTATGAATTACAGGTGGCTCCTTACAGTCCCCTTGATTCACATTTGTCTCCCCTGCCAGAAGCAACCTGGAATTCCTTCTTACGGTCATTTCTGTGATGACACTATTCCTCATCTCCTCTGTACCCCTGCAGTACTCTAAATGGAATCTATTCCTTTTTTCTATCCACTTGTATCTTTCTCTGAGCTTTGAAATGACAGGAAACATTTGATCTTCTTCATGTTTTTTGGTGGCCAGGCACATAGCTGGCATTTAGTATATGCTTTGGGGATGAACAAACTCCTATCACATAGATAAGTGGAGGGATTGGCAGTGCGTACTGCCATCAATTTCTATCCCATCTCATTCCCTTTGCCAGATGACATTACAGGTTACTTCAGTTTGTTTTTATTTTATAACCATGCTCTCAAGAATAAAGTTTTTGTTTTCCTTGTTCCTGGAAAGGCCTTTTCTGCCAGTATCCTGGTAAATTCACTGGAAAGAGCCACAGGATAAAAAGAAGCCAGTTTGATACCCTGTTCAGGCAGCCCAAAGTTGCCTCAGGACTACAGAAGGAAAAAGGATTGGGGTGGCTGATAACCTTTCTGCCTTCTTGGCATTCTCTAAGCCCCCTTCCAGCTCATATAATTCTATAATAATTCTATAATCTGTTATTGGTTGTGGATACGTATACACAGGGAACAAAAGGCAGCAGAAATGTAAGTATATCAAAATAAGGCTCAAAGTGGCTCCCAGTATAGGAGGAAGGTAGATCTGAATCCTTAGATTTTCTCTGACTTACTGCTATACAGAGCACAGTCCTCAATTTGTTGCTTGTAGGTTTCTCACATGGCTGCTGCTTTCATACTGCTTTTCTAGTGTTTTCAGGAAATCTAGCTGTCTCTGAGTAAAGTTGTGGGTTTCATCCTCACTCTGGAATTTCCGAAGCCATCATGATACTATTTTTCATTCCTGATCTCACTAATTTTTTTCTGCAAAGGCCAGGATCTGATTGAAGACTTAGAAACTATACATTAGCCAGTTTTATCTAATTCTCCAGGAAATTTAATATCTTTGTAGGCAGAGTTATATAGATTTCACTTTTTAACTGTCATAATTTTTCTTCAGTCCAACATAAACTTACTTTTCATCCTTTAAAGAATATTAGGAAGTAAGCTCCATAATTGCTGACTACCCCGTTCTTAAAATTCTGTTTTATGGGTTATCTAGGACAACTGCATTTCCCCTCTCAGTGGCTGTCTTGAAGCAGCACCAACACATGCATGCCCAGGCTCTGCAGCACAGTTTTCTTAGAGGTTAGGAGACCATGAGTGACACAGGTCCTAGGGCCAGGACAAGGGAACACCAGTGGGCTACCTGGAAAATTCAAAGGGTGTCATCAAGCTGGTGCTAACAGCCAAGCTTGCAGGAAGATGGAAATAGACATTTGCCTACGGGTGTCAAGCTTCACTATTTTAAGGTTAGTTATATGTCCTTTGCTTCTATGGAAGCCAAACACCTGCATGTTGTACTTGACTCCAGTCTCAAGAGGGAGTAAAGCAGCAGAATAGCAGAGTTTAGAAACACACTTGGGACAAGAAAGCCGCTAGGGACTGAATTCCTTCTGGGACTGTACAATTGCTTCCCATGATGGTCTCCTCAAAATAGTACTTCTCTCCACAGTTTCCCCTCCCCCCCACAAGGCCCAGGAAAAGCATAGAAGGTGTCCATAATGAAAAAAGAAATCTATGCATATACCCAGAGTTTTTCTTTTTATTTACAAAGCAGTAAACCAAATCCCTGCATGAATACACGTATCCAAAATGCTCTAATATTGCGTATGCCATTTCCCCTCAAACAGGACTTTAGGTTTGGCCACTTTTCTAACTTAACCATATCTATATGAACACATGATGGTAAGAAATCTAGTTATTACTTTAAAATGTTTCCTAAAGGAATGGTAGAGTGTGCAGGAAGGGAGAAAGAGGTATGATAAAAATCTATTCCACCATCCGTATCACCTGCACATGTCTTAGAGGTTAAGTGCCTAAGCCAGTCCCTGTAATACACTTGGGCTGTTCTGGAAATGCCTCTACTTAGCTCTGAAGTAAGGATGGTAGCCTTTAGCCTACTTCACCCCTGAGTCCTAAAAGGAAGCTGAAGATAACTACTCAAAGAGTGAACTTCAAAACAAAGACGTGCTGAGGTTTACATGTGTTGACTTGAACTCATGAGAGTTTCTGGCTCTGTGTATCTGTACCCTGACCACAGACAAGGAAGTCCAGGTGGAAGTCATGGCAACCACAGGTAAGCTGAGAGGCTTTCGCTGGCTTCTGGGTGGTCTCAAGAATAGCCAGAGGTAAAAAGATCTGCCTCTTCTACCACACATTTGCACATATCATGGTATCTGTTTTCTAAGCCATTTTTTTTTCACCCAGAGGCTTCTTTGAAAATTATATGCCCCTCTTGTGGATGGTTTTAAAATAAATTTCTCTTTATATATCTGAATAGCCATAGGTGTGCCTCTCCTCTACAGATTTGTCTCTCTCATATACATACACACATGTACACATACACAGAGTCTGTGTGTTGGACCAGTCATACCAAAAATAAATACTCTCACTTCTCTAAATTATTTATAGAACTAATCTTATTCTTGAAATATGTTAATAAATAATCTAAATGGGGGAGGGAGTTGAAGTGGTCTTTCTTTTTATACTTATGTTGGTGGATAGCCACAAAGCATAATCATTTTATTTACAAAAACCCCCAAACCTCCCAACCTAAAAAAGTGCCCCCCAAATCAAACATCCTCTGTAAATATAGTATTTAAATGAGTAAGGTACTGTACCATCGGCCCCCGTTTGGTTATGTACATCATGTTAGTCGCTCAGCAGTAGCCATTCCATGAATTCCTCATGGGTAGTGCAACCAGTTAAAAAAGTGTATAAAACATTATACATATAAAAACTCTCACATCCTTTGGATGTTTGCAGTTCATCATAACTTTGTGGTTACCTTTCCGCAACATAAATTTAAAAAAGTTACACTTTCTCTCTCTCTCTCTCTCTCTCTCACACACACCCACACCCACACCCACCCACACCCACACACAGACTCATACATAGGAAGCCATCCATCCAGTCATACACCATCCAGAGAGAGCAGTGCATGAGACTGAATTCCATGAGGCACGAAGCGGGTGGTCCCATCCTCAGGGCAGTCCATCATCTTCCAGACTTAATGCCACTCGCTGGGGAGATAGATAGATCAAAGAAATCATCATTAGATCCACAGGAGGTACTCTTTTTGGGTGTCAACAAAGTACTAGACATACTATTACTTTACAAATACTAGCTCGATAATCTTCAAACTATACCAGATGATAAGATTTATCATACTTATTTTACAGATGAGAAAATAAGGTTCGATGGGCTTATGTGATGTTTGCTTTGGATCACACAGCAAGCAGCAGAACCAAAGTTTGAACCCAGGTCTGTGTAAATCCAGAGCTGTAGCTTTTTTCATCATTCTGTTCTATCCCTTGTAAAGGAGGGTAGCAGAGATCTGGACTTTTCTCCCATATAGGATTTCAGATTGGGTGAACTTCAATAGTCTAGCTCTGTCACATGTTAAATCCTAGGCTATCCTGTCTCCAGGATATCAATTAGGTAGATGCAATGCTGCACTCTTCCCAAACAATTAAATATAATCAGAAGGCAATGCAAGTCAACTGAATTCAGCTCCTCTCTCACTCCATTCCAACTTTCCAGTCATTAGATGCTCATTTTCCTTCTTCCAAAAACGGCTGCCCATTTGATGGGGAGCCCACTAACCCCCAAGCCAGTCTAGTCTCTTGTGGAGAGTGGATTTAATTTTTTTCCTATACTGATGTTTCTTTATATCCTTCTCATGTTCCTTGATTCTATCTTTGACTCAAGGGGACTTCTAAACAGCAAAGCCCTTGAATTCCCTTTCCTTTATCTTGTTTTCTTCTCCCAATATACATCTAGATTTTCCTTAACTGATGTTTTCTGCCCTTCCATTTCCTAGATCTCATCCTTTGGATAGATGCTAGTTTAATTGTCATTTTCAAAGCTCTATGAATTTGGGCTCATCACTTCCCTTCCCTGAGTCTTAGTTTCATCATCTGTCAAATGGGACAAGAACCTATCTCATAGGGCTGATAGGAAATCAAATGAAATAATGCATGCCAAGTGGTTAATGTGATACCTAATACACACGGGGTCTGGAGTGTCCTAGGCTACCTGACCAGCTTATACTAAGTATCTTCCATCTCTGGGTATTCATTCTACAAATGATAAAAAAAAAAAAAGGAATTCCACTGCTTTTCAAGTCATCTTTGGGATTAACTGTAGGTTTTCGTGAATCCATTGTCATGTTCCACCAGCACAGTACTGGGGACTGTCTTATTCTCAGCAAGCCACCCTCCCACTCTCCTCCAAGACAGATCGACAGGCCAAAGACAGAGCCAAACAGTGGTAGCAGAGCTACCTGAGAAAGGGACAGAGGAGAGGACAGGTGGTGGAGAATACTGACTTCCAGGTTATTTAGTCCATAACATAGTGGAAGGGATATGAGCCTCTCTACACCTGCAGCTGGAAGTTTGAATCCTGGTTCTGGCACTTCTTGGCAGAACACCGAGAACAGTATCTCACACATAGTAGGTGCTCATGAAACCAGTGTCCTCATTCTATGACTTTCACTCTGCAGCTGTTGGAGGCTTACTTCTCAGGCCTTGGATTCTTCAGGAACAACTCCCTCAGTCATTTCCTTCTCTGGAACCAGTAACACTTTACAGGTGCAGATTGCTTTGTAATTTACAAAGTGTTCTCTTGTATGTGCTTTCTCATTTGAACTTTCTAAGCTCAGAAGGCAGATGGAATGGGGGTCATTCTCATTTTACAAATAAAAGTAGAGACAAATGAGCATGACCGGTGCTGACTGGTGGAACTGACGAGTCACCTTACTCCGAGCTCAATGCTTCTTATACTGAGTCTTCTCTAAGACATAAAAAATGTTAAAGCAACTGTGTGCCCGGACTTGCTAAAGTTAAGGAATCTCAAAGTCCATCTGCTGACCCTCCCCCGCACCTGCTCAACTCCCGTGTCTTCCCTTTATGAACCATTCACTTCAGCAGTTCTGTTTACCCCATACTTGATCTTTCTTCCACAGGCCATTTCCTTGGTCTGCAACTAACCCGTGTTTATCTGCCCCAACACCCAGCTTACAGTTTACAGTCTTCAAAAACAAGTCAGCCTTCTCGGATTGGCCACACTTGACTAGGTTTAGGCCTCACTCACCAGCCTATCAGGCTCAGAGTGGCACTGCCCTACCTTGCACTTGACGACAGGCAGCTCGGAAAGAGGGTTCTTCGGGAGCTGGTGCAGCTGTGACCTTGGTTCCCCAGGCAAGACAAAAAGCTCCTTGAGGGCAGGGGCTGGGTCTTCCAGTTCTCTGGTCTCCCCAACACAGGGCTCTGCCCACAGTGGGCGATCAAAGCTGCTGATTGCCTGACAGGGGGATGGACTGGATGACCCCTGAGGTCACACTCAGCCCCCTGACTCTGCTACATAACAATGACACCTGTTCAGCTACTTCATAGTCCTTGCTCCCCCAACAGGCCATGCTCCTTGTGCCTCTAAGCCTTTGTGCATGCTTCTGTCTGGAATGCCATTTTCCTCCTTCTCTACCTGGAAAACTGCCGTTAATCTTTCAATGACACAGTTCCACTTGTTGCTTTCTTTGTGAAGCATTCCTTGTCCAATTACCCAGGCAGAATTAATAGCTCCCTTGTTTCCACAGCAAACTATTTATTCAACAAATATGTCTTAGAAACTGGCTATCCTGTGCTATGCTCCAGGAAAACAGGCTAATCACATTAGATTTTGCTTTCAAGGACCTCACGATCTAGTGGGGAGACTACTAAGTAATAAGTGCACTGGGGTGGGACAGAGGCTGGGAAGGAGAGGCCCAGGGGACTGTGGGAGAACCACGCAAGTGCAAAGGCTTCCTAGAAGAAGAAAATCCTGAGCTTCCGCCATGGCATTTAGCACACAGTGGTACAAGTGTGTGGTGAGTATCTTGAGCTCTCCTACCAGCTTTTTTGGGGGGAGCAAGTGCATTCCTTAATGACCTCTGAACACTTGATATCTAATGGCACATAACTTGTACAGTATTTGTGGAAATGAATACATTCAAATTAAATAGTCCTAAGTACCCTCCCAGGCCAAAGGTTCTGAAAATCATTCAGTAGAGAGACATTTGGATTCTTTACTGCTAGGGAGAAACCCCACGTACAAGGTAGTCCTGCTATCCTGCTACTCTAACCACTTGCCTCAGCCTCTGTGTGGTCCCTAGGGCCCAATAGGATCCCTGATAGGATCTTGGCAAGGGTTAAGGGAGGGTGAAGGGAGGAAGGGTGGGAGGGAGGGAGGAAGGAAGGAAGCAAGCAAGCAAAGAAGGAAGGAAGGAAGGAAGGAAGGGAGGGAGGGAGGGAGGGAGGGAGGAAGGGAAAGGGAAGAATTCTCCCAGTAAGGAATACTTACTGCCGGATAGACATGGCCAATTTGAGTTGTCCTCCCTATATGAAGCTCATCTTCATCTTCCTCTTCTGTTGTTTTCCTGTACACTGGGTTGTCAAAATTCATGCTCTTGGTGTTCTTCCGCTTCCAGTTTCTCCAAATCAGGTAGCCACTCATGCACAGCAGGGCTATTACCGCTGGAAGAAGGGACACGTTACTCTGGACATGCAGAGGGCTCTGGTCCATTGCTCACACCTCGTTGCAGAGCTTGCCACCTCTCTAACGTGGCTGCCCCTTGCTCCTCAGGCATTGGATCTGCACGTTCCCTTTCTGCTGCATGGAAGGTCTCCTCTCATCTTCTCTTTCCTCAATTAACTACTCATCCTTTGAGATCAAGTGAAGTCGTCCTGCACTGTTCTAAGCAGGGTCTGCTGTTCCCTCATGTATGCTCCCAGGCCACAGTACTTTTCATATCTGTATTCCCAATCAGACTGAACCTTTGAGGGCAGGGTCTGTGCTTGTTTATCTCTGTAATGAGTACCTAGCACAGAGATGGTGCTCGGTGATACATGCTGAAAGAATGCGTGAATTCCTTCTCTATACCTTTACCCTAAGGTGGCTGCTTCTGTGGGCCTCTTAAAAACAAACAGACATTATTTTCCCATGTTGGAGTGGGAAGTATTTTTTTATTCTAAAGCTGGGACTTTATCCAAAGAGAATTATCTTCAGAAGGGGGTATGGAAGGACAACATGGGCTTTGGGTTAGAATAAGGGACTATATTAATGAGTGAAAAAAGACTTTTCCACAGAGCTAGGGAGCAATGAGGCAAGTAGCTTTGTAACTAACAAGCAATCACTCTGAGCCTTTCAGTGGAGGCTGGGTGATCACTTTCTACAATTCTGTAAAAGGGTTCCCAGTTGAGAAAGATCACGATAATTAAATAATTAAATAAGGAAGGATGCTTCTCATGACTGTTTTTACTTATTATTCTGGAGATTGAGCTATATGCAGTAAGACTAGGTTTAAAATAACTGGAAATTGAAAGGCCTACATATGAGAAAGGAAGGAACAAGGCTGTTAGAATTAACATGTTTATATGTTTAGAAGATATTAAGAGAATCAGGTAAGAAAAACTATTAGAAATAATTTTAGCTCATTAAGACTCAACAAAGTGGGGCTGGGAAGGTGGCTCAGTGGCAGAGTGCTTGCCTTGCATGTATGAGGCCCTGGGTTCGATCCCTCAGCACCACATAAACTGAAAAAGCCGAAAGTGATGCTGTGGCTCAAGTGGTAGTGTACTAGCCTTGAGCTGAAGAGCTGAGGGACAGCACCTAAGCCCCATGACCGACCAAAAAAAAAAAAGAATAAACATAGATGGGAGTCAATGGGTCACTTCTGTAATCCTAGCTACTCAGGAGGCTGAGATATCTGAGGATCATGGTTCAAAGCCAGCCCGGACAGGAAAGTCCACGAGACTCTTATCTCCAATTAACCACCAGAAAACCAGAAGTGGTGCTGTGGCTCAAGTGATAAAGCACTTGTCTTGAGCTGAAGAGCTGAGGGACAGCAGCCAGGCCCAGAGTTAAAGCCCCATAACCACAAAAAAAGAATCAACATAAAGCTGGGTATGGTGGCACACAACTATAATTCCAGCACCTGAGAGGCAGAGACAGGAGGATTGTGAGTTAAGGCCAACTCGGCCTTATATAGTCAGTCTCCAGTCAACTTTGGTTATGAGACCTTGTCTCCTTCCTTGACTCAAATCAACATAAAAATCTATAGCTTTCTTTTTGTCAACAGTAACATACTAGAAAATGTAATGGTGTAATAGCCCAATAAAAACCTATAAAATACCTGGGATGAGCTACAAAGAAATGTACAAAGTCTTATGCACTCCATAAACCATGAAAAGATGTAAAGAAGATTGTAATAGAGAAATGCTATGTTCCTGGATAAAAAATTACGATTGGTAAAAATGTAAATTTTTCCACATCCAAAGAATTATCGATGAAAATGTAGAAAGATTCCATCATCATTTTGATAGAATTCACACAATTATTCTAGAGTTTATCTAGAAGAGAAATCAAATAAAAACAGCTGAGAAAATGTGAGCTACTAGTTTATGGGAATAGACACATTGGTGGAAAAAACAGCATAATATCTGTAAGGGGGATAATTCAAGTGAAAAGGAATAAATAGAACTATCCAATAATGTTCTACATACCATACACAGGTATGTAGGAAGAAGCAGTTAAATATTTACCTCTCACCATTCTCAAAAATAAATTCCATATGGAAATACCTAATTACTAAAAATTACTCAGACCATATCAGGAGATAGTTTAATAATTCAGGGTGAGCCAAGCCTTCCTAAACAAAAAGCTAAACCCAGAATTCATGTAACAAAAGATGAACAGATTTGCTACTTAAAAGATTTAAATTTATGCATGGCAAAAGACACCATGAACAAATTGAAAACTCAAGTGTCAGACCAGAAGGAAATATTTATCACATAAAGGTTTTAATATTCATTTGGCATAAATATTTCTACAAAATAAGCTAACAATAAAAAAGGAGACTGTGAATAGGCAATTCATAAAGGATGGAAGGTAATAAATGGCCAATAAGCATATGAAAAGATATTCTACTTCCAGGGGAATATAATACTCATCCTGCCTGCACCCCCTCCCCTGCTCCTGGGGGATTGGCCAAAATAAAAAATGCTGATTAGCTTGGTAAGCTATATCAGTAAAAACAGTGCCCACAAGCCTCTTATAGGGCATAGGATGGCAGAACAGGGTTGATCTGTCTTCAACTCCACTCAAAGCCAAATGTGGAATGACAGTTTCACCACCATCTTTTCTGGTGAAGCCAATCAAGGCCAATTCAAATGCTATCACCACCATACTAAGGATCCCCAAGATAAAAGAACAATCATTGCCTCTATCTTAAGGCCATAGGGAAGTAAGGGAGCTAACAATCCCAGTTTAAAAACATTGCCAAGAGATGAGGCTGGGATGACAGACAGGAAGTGCCAAGAGGCCATGCTGAACATGGGGGCTGGGACCCCATGGTTCTGAACACCTGCTTCAACCTCCCCATCACCTCCCATGCCATTTCTCAGTCTTGGCTTTGTTCAGCTGACTCCACAGCCTGGACTACTCCTGGTTCTCTTGCCTAGCTCAGCTCAAGCACCAAATGATGCCGGGCAAACTTGTCTGCCCTCTCCCTTCTTCAGTCTAAGTGCTTCCTCAGCATTTCCACTAAATTCAGAATGCATAGTTTACTCTTAGGTCTTACCTTATAACAAACGTATCTCTGTTATAGGGGTTTCTTCAGTAAGACTAAACCTTGACTTATACTTTAGTCACCTCCCCTCCCCTTATCAAAGAGTTTGATATACCATAGCTGCTTAATAAATGTTTGCTGGAAACCAAATAGAAAGAAAATACATACTGTATTTTGAAGCATAGTAAATAGCTCTCCTTATCAGTTACACAAGATTCAATTTCCTATAATGTATCAGTCAATGCTGGGAGCTGGGGAGAGTGGCGAGCAAGGAAGATACCAGCCACATCCCCAGGGAGTGAGTGAGTGAGTGTGTGTGTGTGTGTGTGTGTGTGTGTGTGTGTGCACATGCAGCTGGATGGTTACTTGGGGCCAGGTCCAGAAGAGCCTTGTGTGCCAGCTCAAGAAACCAAATTCAACTAGTGTCAGGAAGTGGTAGGTCAGTGTGTTGGGTTCTCTGTCTTTCTCTAGTCTTGGGCAGGGACTCTGTGTCCCGATGATGTGGCTGTACTCACCTATGGGCACGATGATCCCAATGACAGCAGCAGTGACTGTTGAGCCCATCTTGTCATCTTCATTCCCATCTGCAAAGCACAAACATTCACAGATTAATGCTCCATCACTGTGAGTTCAAGTCCTTATAGGCCTCAGGCAGATAAAACAACCCAACTGCTTTTGTCCTCACTCTAATGGTCCTTGGGCTGGGGGTGTGGCTCAAGTCATAGAGAGCTTGCCTAGCATGATCTCAGGCACGGGTTCAAGCTCTAGTACTGTGCAAAAGAAATGAAAATGATGGCCATAGCTAAATGCTTAATGATTCAGTCTTCCCAAATTCTACCAATACTCCTGTAAGGCAACCAGGACAGAGATTATTTCCATTTCACAGAAGGGGAAATGAAATCGTATAAGTGCTTAGTTAAAACTTGAACCCAGGACTCAACGACACTTCCACAGCATGATGGTGGTAGGAAGCTGGGGGCTATGCGTGGCCAGTGAGCATATTAGGTCTTCATGTTGCTGACAGACAGGATCAGTTGCTTTCTCAGTCAGTGTCTATACTGCCTGTATTGTTTCTGTTATTTTGGGTGGTCTGGCCATCTGTCTGAATTATCAACTTATTTTTGTAAAGTACATAGTATAGAGGAATGAACATCACAGGCTACCGGGTCAGACTTCTGAGGTTCAAATACCATCTGTATTACTCACTATAAAATATAAAATGTCTTGTTGTATTCTTTGTCTTAAAAATTGAGATTATGTTAACACCTATCTAATGATACATAAAGATTAAATGAGATAGTCTGTATAAAATGTTTCTTAGCATAGTGTCTGGCACAGTCTTGCCTGATTTAAAGGGGATGGTGAATGAGATAGGAGGAGTAGCAAGGCCTAAATATAAAAAGGTATCTCAGCTGAGCTTGGTGGCTCATGCCTGTAATCCCAGCACTCCAGAGATGGAGGCAATAGTAGCTCACGCCTATAATCCTAGCTACTTAGGAGGCTGAGATCTGAGGATTGTGGTTTAAAGCCAGCCTGGCAGGAAAGGCTGGAGACTCATATCTCCAATTAACCACCAGAAAACCAGAAGTGGTGCTATGGCTCAAGTGGTAGAATGCTTGCCTTGAGTTGAATGGCTGAGGGACAGCGCCCAGGCCCAGATTGTGGGCCCAGGCCCACAAAGGACCCCAAAAAAAAAAAGTATGTAAAAGTGTATTCTAAACTGAAAAGTCCTTAGAAAATGTACTCTCTGTGTGTGTGTGTGTGTGTGTGTGTGTGTGTGTGTGTGCGTGTGTGTATGCCTGGGGCTTAAACTCTGGACCTGGGCTCTGTCTCTAAGCTTCTTTTGCTCAAGGCTAGTGCTCTCCACTTGAGCCACAGTGCTACTTCTGGGTTTTTCTGAGTAGTTTATTGGAGATAAGACTCTCATGGACTTCCTGCCCAAGCTGGCTTTAGACTGCAATCCTCAGATCTCAGCCTCCCGTGTGAGTCACCAATGCCTGGCTATTTTTTTTTTTTGGTGCCAGTCTTGGGGCTTGAACTCAGGGGCCTGGGTGCTGTCCTTTAGCTCCCCTCCCCCCCCGGCCTGCTTAAGGTTGGCATTCTCCACTTCTGGATTTTTGCTGGTTAACTGGAGAGAAGAGTCTCAGATTTGTTTGCCTGTGCTGGCTTCAAACCATGATCCTCTGATCTCAGCCTCCTAAATAGGTTTACAGGCATGAGCCACTGGCTCCTGGCTTGCATTGCATTTAAAAAAAGAATACTGTGCCACCTTCCTCTAATCTAAATTTGCAGAGCACTGTGCAGTTTAAAAAGCCTTTTCCTAGTGGGTCCTCATGACAGCCTTCTGAGGTGTGAAGAGGAGCTATTATCCACATTTGCTCCAATGCTGCTGGCCTCTCTCTCTGGGTGGCATTAAATCTACAGCTTAGCAGGGTATGGTGGTGCATGCTTATCATCTAAGCGATTCCAGAGGCAGAGGCAAGAAGATCTCAAGTTTGAAGTCAACTTGGGCAAAGGTAGCAAGACTATCTCAAACATAAAAGCAAAAGGGCTTGGGGGAGGGGTACAGTTCAAGTGGTAGAGTATTTGCTTAGCTTGTTCAAGGTCCTGGGTTTAATCCCTAGGACTTGGGGGTGGGAGCAGGGTTTGTAACAGTTTGATAAGGCCTGTGGGAAGAGGCTTTGTTCCAGCTTCTCCTGCAAACTTCTGGGTGAGTGCTCAACTCTGAGAATCCAGCTTCTGCTGGCAAAGAGACTCAGAAAGGAGTCATCGAGCTGGTTTCTGCACCATCCGGGTAAAGAAAAAAAAAACCCACAGAAGATAGTTTATCCTTTTAAATGAACTCCCCATGACAGGAAACTCAATTAAAAAAGTATTTGCTGGTTAATGAGATAGAACAGTTCTGGCAGTGACAATTACTGCTCCCAATGATTTAGTAAGTGATGGACTTAATTATTTTTATCCCAGCGTTTGAAAACAGGCAGGAGCACACCATAATTATGAATGTGATCATCTGGGCGGCTTGTGGAGGCTGCTGGGAACTGAGACCAGAATTTTTCCCATCTGAGGGACACCCCCTTCATGCACATGTCATTCACTCAAAAATAGGCATCTACCCAGGCAGTAGAGACTGAGTGTGTAAGCACTTTCATTCCCATTGCCCTCCCTCGACAATCTTGTGAATCAAGGGTTGTCCTTTGTAGAAGAAACTGAGGCTCAAAGAGGGACTGTAGCTACCCTCGAGACCCTCTTCTCCACACTTCCATCCCAGACCCCATAGTACTGCCAGCTTCCCACACCATGCAAGCGTGCAGAGCTCATTTCCTTACAGTGCTGGGAGTGGTTGCTGGTTGCCGGGCTTGGTGTTGACAGGCTGATGCTGGGAGCCCTTGGACCACTAACTGAGCTGGGCCCAGCAGCTGCTGGGCTTGCTGTCGTGGTGCTGTGGTTCTGGGAGGTGGGGCCATGGCTTGTCCCAGGGGCTCCTGTGGTGACAGGTACTGCCCTCGTTGTAGTAGGGGTTGACGTCGTTGTCGTTGTTGTTGTTGTTGAGGTAGATTGAGGTGCTAGAGAAGAAAGACTGTGAATGTCACTTGGACAGAGAAGTTTATTGCTTTAGCGCTTAAATTACTGCCTCAATGAATTACATGTAGGGACTCATTCTCAGGGCTTAGCTCAGATGCCACTGCTGTGAAGCGTTCTCTTATCCCCCTAAATGGCCCCCAATCTTGCTTTCAGCTGAATGCTAAGCACTTTACCTTGTCCAAACAAGATCAATCAGTCATTGAAACAATGCTTTAGAATTCAGTGTGACTGAGATCATGGGAAAGACTAGAGGGAGGGGTAAGCAAATAAATCTAGAAGTACTTTACCCTGATAGTATTCCATTATTAGATTTAAATTATTTCACTTTAAATAATTGATCCTGGACAAGGTTGACAAGAAATGTACTCATTACCTTACTTATGTAACTGAAACCCCTCTGTATATCACCTTGACAATAAAAAAAAAAGAAAAAAATTGATCCTGGAAATCATAAATGACAAAACAGACTTACACTCAAATAATATATGGCCTTGGCCGTACATCAAGATTGGGAAATAACCACACTTGTGTGGTTATTATCTTTTATTGTAAGTCCTAGTCATATTGCAAGACGGTGTAGGGTGTTAAATTCTATATAAGAAATAGATAAACATAGTCATCTGTGTATAAACAATAAATGAAGCCATGAAGATCAAGGGGTCTTAACGAGATTTTTCAAGGGATTCTAGAAACCATCCTGAAGGATCAATTAAAAATGTTACATGGGTGTGTAGTTATTTATTTATTCCCCCCTGGAAAGCAGATGAAAAAAGAAGAAAATCCAAAGGCATCAAGTAGAAGATGAAGATGGAGGAAAGCCCGGAACACACAGCATCCCAGAAGCCAAGGGCAGGGTCTGGCATTGCCAGGAGCCACCCCTCCTGGAATCTCCGCTTACTTCGGTAGCACCTCTTCATGTCTGGGCCCAACCACATTGTGTCAGGACAGGCACATGTGTACTTGGGAGAGTGGCTGAAGATCTGAGGAGCAGGAAGGCACAGGTACTCACAGCCTCCATTGGGCTGAGCACTCAGCTCACAGGCATCTGCAGCTAGTGGTAGAGAGAGAAAAACTGTTAGGGCACCTACAGGATGTGTATTCTCCTCTCCTGAGGATGAGGCCTTCCCATTTGGCTTGTTCAAAAAGCTCTCCCTGCTTTGGGGCACCTACCAGCACCGCACCTGGTATTTTAGCCTCACTATCATTTAATCCTTACAATTCGGAGAGCTGGGTCTTATGTCTCAGATTGACAGATAAACAACCCTAGGCTCAGAGAACAAACTTGTCTAAGCTTTACTTTTAGGAATTTTGAAGACAGAAATGAAACTGAGGCATGCTGGATTCCAGAACTCATTTCCTCTCCATCCCCTGAATGTAACACATCATGTCTCATTTAAATTCCTGTATCTAGAATCAGGACCCAATGTCACCTCCTTCCCCCTTTGCTTTCCCACTTTCATTCTGGCAGCCAACACCTCAACTGCAATTAGGATTTCTGAGTGACAGAGGAGGAGACAGGCTGGCAGCAGGATTCCTGGGATCCATTAGTTTCTATGATGGGTTCACAGAACAAACAAGAAGCACTGAGTCTGCAGCAGAAGGAATCAGGTGATCCAAGTTTAGGTTTTGGTTCTACCACCTGTAACATCTGACCTTCGTTAAACAATACGCACACTTTGTAGGATTGGCAAAAATAGGAAATTTATGTACTTGTTCATACCTGGCCTTGTGTCACAAAGAGCTATATAGGCAAAATGATATAAAACACTGTAAGGCACTGTCGTTATCCCTGGGGATGCTAGTCATAACGGGAATGTGAACACAGCCTCTCTGTGGCAGAAGAGGACACAGGCAGGGGACCTAGGACCAAGGAAGGCTCACCTCTTGGCTGCTTCAGCTCATGGAAGATGACAATGTCATGTGGGTTATTGAGGTTCTCAGCCAGGATGGAGATTTCCAGGCCATTAAGCCGATTTGCACTGAAAATGGCCTCATTCTCCAGATCTGTCCAGAATACCTTGTCCTGTGGGGCACAGATGTGGCAGATAGGAGGCCTAGAGCCTGAACTCATGACCTCAGTCTGAGGGCTTGGCCTCAGATCACAGTGACAAGAACTGCCTATATCTTCCCAGAGCTATCCATTCTGATATGTTGTATAAACCCTTATGGTTCCCTTCTATCTTAGAGGATTAATTGATGCATGCTTTGACCTGAAGACCACAAGCCTACTCACTAACTCAAGAGCTTCCTGGAGCAAGCAGAAACCCAAGATTGGATCTCAATAGCTATTGTCAACACTGGGGTCAGAACTAAAACTGGAGAGGATGTGTGAGCTATTGAGATATCCTGCTGGGCCTCTTACAGACTCTGGGAATAAACACAAGTCCACAGGATTAGTCCATACAAGACTACACGTGCAACTGTAGGCAAATCCACAATTACAGGTACAACCATGCATCCTTAAGCACAGATCTAGACACAAACTCAAATGTTCATCTACTTCCATTAAGGCCTGTTTGTCCCTAAGTAAAAGCTTATCTGAGTATTGATACACATACTCACAAACACCAGCACATATAGGAATGAACACTTCACTGATCTATTCTATATACAGGAATACATACACACACTTTACACATGCCACAGGTATGCTCGGGAACACACACAACACACCTGACTTTGAAGCAGGGAACTGGACTTAGAAGCAGAACTTTACCCACAATTTCAAGCTGAGTGAAGCTGCTCCAAGAAAATATTGCCAGTGCCTACCACAGACCTCACTTTCCCTCCCCTTGGTGACAGAGTTCATTTTGGGGATGATATGGAGTATGTGGGACCATGATAGATTCTGATTCATCATTCCACAAAAAGAAAGGCTGTTAAGAGTCAGGGCAGGGAAGCAGTCTGGATTCCTCACCTTTCAGGGTGCTTCTTTTTTGTTATTGTTCTTTTTTTTTTTTTGTCGGTCGTGGGGCTTGAACTCTGGGCCTGGGCGCTGTCCCTCAGCTCTTCAGCTCAAGGCAAGCGCTCTACCACTTGAGCTACAGCGCCACTTCTGGTTTTCTGGTGGTTTATTGGAGATAGGAGTCTCACGGTCTTTCCTGCCCGGGCTGGCTTTGAACCACGATCCTCAGATCTCAGCCTCCTGAGTAGCTAGGATTACAGGCGTGAGCCACCAGCGCCCGACTTTGTTATTGTTCTTAATGCCAGTCCTGGGGCTTGCACTCAAGAGTCTGGGTGCTGTCCCTAAAACTCTTTTTCTCAAGACTAGTGCTCTACCACTTGAGCCACAATGCCACTTCTAGCTTTTCTGAGTAGTTTACTGGAGAGAAGAGTCTCAAGGACTTTCCTGCTTGGGCTGGCTTCAAACTGTGATCCTCTGACTTGAGTCTCCCAAGGAGCTAGGATCACAGGTGTGAGCCACCAGCATCTGGCTTCTTGGGAGCTTCTTTTTTTTTTTTTTTTTAATTTTTTTTTGGTCCGGTTGTGGGGCCTGAACTCTGGGCCTGAGCACTGTCCCCCAGCCCTTCAGCTCAAGGCTAGTGCTCTACCACTTGAGCCACAGCGCCACTTACGGCTTTTTTCTTTTTGCTTATGTAGTGCTGAGGAATTGAACCCAGGGCCTCAGGCATGCAAGGCAAGCGCTCTACCACTGAGCCAACTTCCCAGCCCCTCTTGGGAGCTTCTTGAGGACTGGGAGTAATGTCTACTTTTGTGACCCCAGGATCTACCAAAGGTCAATAGGAGTGTGCTGAATTGCAGAGCATCTCTCAGGCTATTTTTTTAAGTAAATGGTTCTGAGGAAGCAGATGTTTCTTCTTCCCTTCTCTCCTTACTGAGTTTCACCTTCTGCATATGAGATACAGTGCTAGATGCTGTGGGTACAGAGAGGTGGCATCTGTGGGCAGAGATGCACTGTGAGACATGCTCAGAGAGGGATGTTGGTCAGAGGGCACAGGAAGAGCTGTAGCAGATTGCACTCCAAAGCCTCTGTGCACCGCCTCTTAATTTGTATATGAACAAATCATTTCACTTCCTAGTTCCTTTGTTCCCATTTGGACACAAGTCTGAGGGAGACACTCTATTTAAACAAGGCTTCCCTAGGTTTCAGCTTCCTGGTGAGGCCAGGCCTCCCCTCACAGGACTCACCTCAAACACAGCTATCCCAAAAGGGTGGCTCAGGAAGTCTGTAGAGAAAATCAGCATCTTTCTGTTGCCTCCGCTGAAGTCAATGCTAGACAGTTGGTGCAGTTTGGAGTCTACCCAGTATAAGCGCTGGTTCAGCAAATCTTGGGGAGGAATTGGGAGTGGAGGGATCAGGCCACGAACATGGACCATAGCCTAGATCTCCACCCCTCTGTAACCCCATCCCTGTCTACCGTCCAGGAATGAGATTAGACCCAGCCTAGGGCAGCAACCTTCAGGAAACAAGTTATTGGCACCATAAGGAGGACTCAGAATCAATCCCCACAGAATCAATCCCTGAAAGTCATCGAGATCAGGCACACACCACAGGAAGCTAGCGGAGCTCACCCAGGGCGATTCCATTGGGCCATTCAATGTTGTCTGACACCAGTGTTTGCCGGTCCACGCCATTGAGACCAGACTTCTCTATTTTTGCCTGGTACCCCCAGTCAGACCAATACATGAACCTGAAAGAAAAACCCAATTTGACTTTTTGTTAGGGACATGATTGGAGTGGTCTGAGTCACAAAGGCTCAGTGGCCTGAATAGTTGAGGATTGTGCTCAGCGAGGATGGGAAGACTTCTGAAATCCTTCAGAATGATCAAACCTTAGAATTTGGCCATCCTACCACATTTGGGTAGCTTAGAAGAGAGTTCCCCTGCCCATGCAAGCACAGACATGTATCTGTAGGCAATCCACAATCAGAGATATAACCAGAGAATAGTGTCAGTGCAGGGAGGATCCTGGTAAGTGTTCTCCTCATTTACAGTGGAGAAAGTAGATGATCTTCCATACTCCCCTCTGAAACCCTCAGGCCTACAAGGGCTAGTCAGAGCTCACTGTTATCTACCTAAGAGTTGCATTAGACCTTATCTATTCCTTCCTTCATAGTTCTTGTAGGAGACTCTCCTCCAGTTATCTTGCTTTGTGTTTGTAGTGGGATTCCTATTGGAACCCTGACAGACTCACAGTGGATCAGGGCTGGAAAGAACTATGATTAGAGGGTCAGGGTGTGGCAAATGCAGCGCCAAGTCAACATAAGAACCGATAATGATCCGGTGAAGTGAGGGTTAATAAAGTGGCTCAGTGTCTACTGGGTGCCTACCTGACACATGTTCAAGTAAATGACATCTGTCAGTTACTTCCCTGGGCTTCCCATTCATGCCCCCGCCCCCCAAAATGTGGCAGCCTCAGCTAGCTGGTCTCCCTTGAAGAAAGTTTTCTTCTTCCTGCTTAACAAGTAAGGGAACAACAAGAGGAAGCAAGAGGAAGAAGCTGGTGATGCTGATAAACTCAGTGTAATACACAAATGTCATTTCAAAACACTTCTGAAGAGAGAGGTAGAGGGTGCTGTTCTGTTCTGAATTCCTAAACCTCCAGAGTCAGGTGTGTGTGCAGAGGAAAACAGTTCAGATGACGAGGGGCCCAGAGTCTTGGCGACAGGGGTGGGGATGGAAGTATGCAGCTGAGGACGGAAAAGCGGGAGTGACCTTGGTTGTCTGTCCTGCAGACCTCCTGAGGTCAGTGGAAGACATTATAGGAGATTTGGTGTATGAGGAAAATCCCTCCCTAGTGTCTAATTGCCAAAGCTGTCCCACACTGAAACAGACTTCATGGAAAGTAATGAACAACCTGTCCCTGCAAGCCTGTAAGCACACCAGCAGCACCATGACACACACTGCCCCCCACCTACAGCAGTGCAAGGAAAGGCCTCTGCCCCTGGAGCTTCTACCAGACACTCTATAGAGCCCTGTCCTGCTCTGACACACTCAGATTCTGTGATACAACAACTGTGGGAAGAATCGTTCACTCTATCTTACCCAGGTCTATCCTCAGCACCAGGAAGATCCTGGCAACTAAATGCCCACAGAAGCCTTGGGCAGAAGTTAGCAGGATGACGATAATACAAGGACTCTCTTCCTCGTGGCCTGTGTCTGATTATCCTATAGTCTTCTACAACCCTCTTGTAACAGACACATAAGGACTGTGCACCAAGGCTGGGGAAATGAGAGTACCACTGGGGGGTGACTCACCCTCGTAAGGGATCCACAGCGATGGCCCGGGGTTCACTCAGGTCACGATTGAAGAGAGTGCATCGGCGGCCACCATCCACTGTGGCCACTGAGATGGTCTTATTGCCTGAGTCTGTCCAGTAGATGTGCTTGTGGACCCAATCCACCGCCAGACCCTCTGGAGAGTGCAGCTGCTCATCAATGAGGACTTCCTGCTCTGCCGGGTCACTGGCCTTGTCCATGTAGGCGCTTAGGAGAGAGCGGGGCTGGCCATGGGCACATGCTCTACCCATGAGCCCATCTGGAGCTGCCTGTGAACTCTCCCCACTAGCTCTCCGCTATCTCTGGATTACAGCCTTGGATTTTAGAAAAAATTGGTTAATCTCCACTCAACATATTTCCTGGGCCACCAAGGTAGGGATACAGGCTTAACAATCAGCCAGTATCTAGCCTGGTGGAGTTCAGTTTAGTAGGGGGACAGAAGCTTGCAGAGAGTGTAATGTTGTGTAGCTGTGGAAAGCATTAGATGACACGGCAGAAGGAAAATGGAGCCTACAGGCTGAAGAGTTGGGAGAAGGCTTTGTAGTTGAGTCCTGAGGAACAAGTTCACCAGAGAACAATGGATCAACATGTACAAAAGGGACCAGTGGGTATAAATACTCAGAAGGAGGCACTTCTGGAATTGTGGTTCAGTGGGATGGAGCTGGTTTGAAGGAAATAGTGTAGGTACAAACCACATCCTGATAGTCTCTGAGTGCTAAGGAACTGGGATTTTATCCTAGGAGAGGGGCTAATTGAATGGGTCCAAGGACACAATCAGACAAGCATGTGAGGTCACTGTGGCTCCTGGGGAGGGATGGATTGGTAGAGAAGGGAAGGAAGGCAGGGACAATGGTGAGGGGGCAGGTGTGAGCTGAAGAGAGTGTGAAGGAGACTATGCGGTGAGAGGAGCTGGTAATACAGACACTGGGGAGACACGATTCCCTGGACTTGGCTTCCCACATGCTACTGGTCACAGGTTTCCTTACCCCTGACACCCTCCCTCTTGCTGGGTGGTTACTTCCATACTGTTCACTGCTGGAATTCTGACTCCAATCCTGACAACCCTCGAAAGATCCAGACTGCTCATCCTCAGACTGCCCCAATGCCTGGCCTTCTTTCCCATCTCAAAGAGCAGCACCCTCATCCCAGAAACCCCAAGCTGGACACTTCAGACTCTTCACATCAGCCTGGGAGTTCATTATAGATCTTCTCCCTTCAGCCCTAAACCCCAAATCCTCATCAAATTCTCTTCTCCATTCACAATTGTTGAACAGGCTCTGCTCTAGTTCTGTGTGGTGTCTGTGTGCATGGGGGAAGGAGTTGTTAGTGAGTAGCAGTTGGTCATTTGTTTCCATCAACCCATATACCCTTCATTCACTCACACCTCCCATCATTGTATCAGTACTGAACATTATCTGCTATCTTTGAGTCTCCAGGGTCCAACATACTGATATATGAGCTCTGGAAGTTTTCACAAGGGCCAGCTATTTCTTTCTACCCTGGCTCAACATTTCCTGTGTCTTTGCATTTCCTGGCTTGGCCACCAGGGGTCAGACATAGCTCAGGAATATGGGCTCAAATCTGTTCTCACAGTGCTTTCAGCTTAGGCCTACCCACAGAGTGAAGCCTTCGTGCTTCCACAGCTACTGTGATCCAGCAACCCTTCCCAGGTTCAACTCTGTCCTGAGAAACCCTAGAGGCCTTCCTTCCTCCATCAACCATCCCTCACTCTGCCCCTCCAGGCCTGGCTGCAGGGGACATGCCACTCACCTGTAGATCTTGCGATAGGAGAGGTCACACCAGTAGATGCGATTGGTGACAACTTCCACATCTAGTGCCACAACATTCTTGAGCATGGGGATGAGGCGTGAGTAGTCCCGCTTCACCAGGTCTATCCTTCGTACCTCGTGCCGATTGGTGAATATTAGCGACGGGCTCTTGCCAGCTGCCATGTAGTGAAGTGGAGAGGACAGGGTCAGTAAAGGAGTCAGGGATTCTAGAGGCCAGGCATCTGCCACTAGTTTGCTAGGTCCCACCTCATTTTCCTGTAAAGTAGGGATGATAATCTCTTATTTCACAGGACAGAGGAGCAGATGAAATACTGACTACAAAAAGCATACAATGTACCACGTAAGATGCTTAAGAGCACCACACACACTTGGCCTTTTATTATAGATTCTTCTAAATCTTCTATGACTCCCCCATTTCCTCATGCCTGCACCAAGGCCCTGATACCTCATCCGCCCCTCAGAGCTATGTAGGGATGGGTCTTGTGACTTGGGTAATAATGAAGACTTCTTCATGGTGGGTGTGAGTGTGGGTATGTGTGACACAAGCAGGGCAGGGAAATTAGGACCCCAAGTGCAGGAAGGCACAGGAGGAAAGCAACATTCCAGGCCAGTTTACTATTGCCAAACTATGTCTTCCCTGCCCCGCCAATGTGAGCAGTGATGCTTTACCTCTCAGAAGTGCACTGAGGGTATCTTGCGGCAATTCTAATGAGCCATGACAGCAGTAGAGACCTTGTATTTGGAGCTTTTTCCTGATTGTACTTATTCATATAGATTGTGGTATTGTGGTCCATAGATGGACAGTTGGATGTTGTCTGCACATATGTAATGTGTCATGTTACACATGTCTCATGTGGAGGTAAAAATAAGTTAGCGCATGTGGTGTGTAAATGTATGTTATAGAGGGCACAGTGTGGGTACGGTGTTGTGATCTATGTGCTGCACATAGCATTTGTGTATCTGGACTCCATACTCATATGTCCAACTGCTACTCAGTAGTCTCCACGTGGCCACTGAGACAGTTTTCTTAGGCTCAACATCTCCAAAATAGTTTTTAACATTCTCCCACCCCTACTTCTTTCTGTGGCTTTTCCAAGGCCAGAAATAGCAATCCTATTTTTTCATTTGTCTAGCTAAAAATTTAGGAGTCTTTGACTCTAACATCTCACACTTATTTTATAAGTAATCCCACTGGCTAGTGTTCAAACTATCCACAGTCTGTTCACTTAGCAATGTTCCCACCGCCAACGCCCTGGTCCACCCATCATCTCTTTTCCAAACTACTTAAATAACCTCTAAAGTGGTTTTTCCTGTTTTCTTTCTTGTCCTCTGCAGTTTATTATTTTCAGCAATGGGGCCTAAACATCAAACTACACCCTTTTGACTAAAAACTTTTTGAGGGTTTTTTTTTTTTTTTTTTGATTCATCAATGGTCTAGAAGGCCTTGGGAATCTGCTCTGACTTCATTTCTTCTTGTCTCCTTGTCTAATGGTACTGGCTCCTTCACTGCTCTGTACCTTCAGCCTGAAATACTGTTCCTGAAGATAACTGGATGGCTCACTTCTTCACCTGCTTTAGGCCTTTACTCTGATGGAAAGCTTCCAACTTCTTCCTGAGGGCTTCTTGACCGTTGCATTTAAATCTATCACCCAGTGCTCTCCTGGGCTTTCCTATCTCAGGAGATGTCTTACATCGTGTTTCTCCTTAGTCCCTTATTGCCATCTGCCAGACACTGTACTTTATTTATCTTGATTTTCTATCTCCCCAGTTAAGAAATATAAATCATGAGCAAGTGCAATCATTATATTCAATGTACATTAGGTAAAAAATGAACTCTGTGACTTGAGGGAGGGGCAGGAAGAAGAAAAGGAAGGAGAATGAAGGAAGGAGTGACACTGACCAAAAAGTATTGTACTCATAACCTGACTTATGGAATTGTAACCCCTTTGTACAAGTACATTGTCATCATCAACATCATCAATTAAAAAATATCATCCAGCCAGGCGCTGGTGGCTCACACCTGTAATCCTAGCTACTCAGGAGGCTGAGATCTGAGGATCGCGGTTCAAAGCCAGCCCAGGCAGGAGAGACCGTGAGACTCCTATCTCCAATAAAACCACCAGAAATCCGGAAGTGGCGCTGCAGCTCAAGTGGTAGAGCGCTCGCCTTGAGCTGAAGAGCTGAGGAACAGCACCCAGGCCCAGAGTTCAAGCCCCACGACCAACCAAAAAAAAAAAAAAATCATCCAGCCGGGAGCCAGTGGCTTACACTTGTAATCCTAGCTACTCAGAAGGCTGAGATCTGAGGATCACGGTTCAAAGCCAGCCGGGCAGAAAAGTCCGTGAAACTCTGATCTCCAATAAACCACTAGAAAACCGGAAGTAGCGCTGTGGCTCAAGAGGTAGAGTGCTCCCCTTGAGCTGAAGAGCGTAGAGATAGCACCCAGAGTTCAAGCCCCACGACCGACAAAAAAAAAAATCATCCTCAGCATCATTGTAATAATAAATTAAAAAATATAAGCCCATGAGGGCAGACAGAGATTTGTGTCTGTTTTGTTTACCGTCAAACCCCAGTGTTCACTATAAAAAATTGAATAGGAAAGCTTGGGTTTGGGGGCTCACTCATGTAATTCTAGCTACTTAGGAGGTAGAGACCAGGCAGATTACAAATCAGTGTTGGCCCATGGAAACAGTTTGTCAGACAACCAGCTCCACCAATCACTGTCATCTCTTCTACATATAAAACTGAGATAAGGGAGTTTGCAGAAGTTTCTGAGACCCAATCCCAACAGACAAGGCTAGGTAGGGTGGCATGTGCCTGTCATGCCAGTTACCACTAGAAATGCAAATGGGATTACAGTCCTAGTTGGTCCCAGGCTGGGGTAGTTCAAGCTCCCATGTTATCAAAAAGGAAAAACAAAAGATGAATGTAGTTGGCTGATTTGACTAATGTGTAGGTCTTCACATTGTATTCTTTGTGTGTGATGTGCTAGGTGTATCGTCAAAGTCTATGTCTATGTATTGTGTTGTGCAAGTATAGTCTCGATAGGCTCTTCTGGGCGTCGTTATGCGGTATATGTAGTGCATTGTGTTTATTATGTGTAGTTACACTTGGAGCACTACATGTGCAGGCATACACAATCGTTCCACACATGTGGAAGTATGTTACTTCCTGTACCCTCTCAGAGGAGTCATCTTGCCCTTGCATGGTCCATACCTACAGCCTTGCAGTTCTTAGTCAGTGCGTCCATCTCGTACCCAGGGTGGCATTCACACTTAAAATAGCCCTTGTAATTCACACAGATCTGGCTGCAGGCATCTGGGTCTTCACACTCATCAATGTCTGTGGGGAGGAGCAGAAGTCAGAACTGGCAGGAGGTTCTGCCTCTATTTGGGTAGATAGGGGGAGGTCTCACCGCCGCAGGTCTTCTGATCCAGGAGCCGGAAGCCTGCTGGGCAAGTACACTCAAAGCCGATCTTGAGGTCAGTGCAGATGTGGGAACAGCCACCATTGTTGTGCAGACACTCATTCAGCCCTGGGGAGGGACATGGGCCCCTGAAGTTGATGCCCAGAAGGGATGAGGACAAGGTGGGGGAATGCAGAGCAGAAGCAGAGCCTCAAGGCAGGAGGACTCCCAGAGAACCAGGAGGGCTGGAGACCTCATTGAGCCTCAGCTTCATTAACCAGAGGGCAGGGATAGAGGAGGTCCAAAGAGTGCAGGTCCTTGCTCAGACCAAACACTAGCAAGGACAGAATGGAACCAGAACTCAGGTCTTTGGCCTCACAAACCAGGGCTCTGTCTACTACCAGCCTGAAATCTTTTGGAAATCTATTTCATACAGCTCATCCTTCCTTATGATCTCAGGTTCAAGAGGGCTGTATGTATAAGGTCCAACTCTTAAGACAGCCCAAGAATGCCTGCTTGAAAGGCCCCTGCTTGTACTTCTCCAGACTCAGGGAGTCTATGCTCCTCCTGGAGCAGCTGGCTGTACACTCTGGAACACCCCCAGCTTTTGCAAAGTTCTTCTTTACAGGATCTGTCTCCTGAGCTTTTTCCCCATTCTGAACAATGCTCTGTGGTTTGACCAGGTGCAGGGGGCTCCCTCAAAGCTTCCTTAAAGGCACATGTCTGGTCCCCTGCCATTCAGATGCCTTTCTGTGGATATACTTGCTCTGGACAGATGTGCTCATGTCCCATTCTGGGCAGAGCACAAACTTAGTATGCCAATCAGAGGGAATCCAAACAACATAAGATGGCCCCATGCTGTTCTTATAGTATCTGAGTTTCTTAGGCCAGGACATCCCCCCCCCCCCCCGCTCTGTCTGTCATGGGGCTTGAACTCTGGGCCTGGGTGCTGTCCCTCAACTCTTCAGGCCAAGGCTAGTGCTCTACCACTTGAGCCATAGCCCCACTTCTGCTTTTCTGGTGGTTAATTGAAGATAAGAGTCTCAGGGCCTTTCCTGCCCAGGCTGGCTTTGAACCGTGATCCTCAGATCTCAGCCTCCTGAGTAGCTAGGATTATAGGCGTGAGCCACTGATACCTGGCAGGCCAGGGCTTTTTCTTTTCTTTTCTTTTTTTTTGGGTCGGTCGTGGGGCCTGAACTCTGGGCCTGGGCACTGTCTTTCAGCTCTTCAGCTGTAGACTAGCGCTCTACCACTTGAGCCTCAGCCCCACTTCCAGCTTTTTCTGCTTATGTGGTGCTGAGGAATTGAACCCAGGGCTTCATGCATGCAAGGCAAGCGCTCTACCACTGAGCCACCTTCCCAGCCCTATTGCCAAGTCAGTTTTCTCCTACTGTCTTCTTAACTCCTCTCATCTCAGCACCTGTGCCTCATCACAGGCCTGGTCTCAGGATTACCCACTGCTGCAAGGAATGAAGAAATGCCAGGAGGTCCTAAGGGAAGTCAGGAGTCCAGGACCAAGGCTCACCAAGTTCTCACAGCATCTCCTGAGCTTTAGAATCACAGGTTAATTTCACAAGCGAGGGAAGGAGTCACACCACCCCTCTGCCCACCAGGCTCATGCACTGCAAATCCAGCCAAGCCAAGCAGAGCCGAGCTGAGCCAGGCCTGGCCATGCATACAGCTGGTCTGAGCTGCCCAACCCAGGCCATGCACAGCTATGGGGTGCCCCCACCTCCAGCTGGAGCCATGCTCAGGGAACGTCCCCTTTACCCCTGGGCCTCCTCCTGTTTCCCTGGAATGCTGGTGCAACTGAAAGAACAAGATCACAGCAACCCCATGACTAGGAGGTCCAGGGGTAGCTCAGCCAAGTCCAGCCCTGGGAAGCCCCACACTCACACTCTTGGGAGTGGGCTGAGACATAGTACCTTCAGAGTAGACTCTAGGAAGGACACTAGCTGCAGGAGTTATTCTATCACTGTACACACTCTGATCTCTCATACTATCTATATTACTTCCTGGGTACCTTCATTCATTTGTTTGCTCATTCACTCACTGCCTCATTCATGCACCCACTCACTTCCTTCCTCTCCATGTGCAGGTGGCAGCAACGTTAGTTCTGTGTATTGAGCACTCACTGGAGTGGCATATGTAGGCTGGCTCTGAAAGGGGAAAAGAAACTCTGGCTCAAAGGGACTGGTTTCTGATGATAGACGAGCAGTCCTCCAGGGCTGAAATGCGTTGGGGGAAGAGAAAGGAAAGAAGTTCCGATCTGTCTATCTCTGTCTACCTTCCCCTGAAGGCCTGAAGGGAAGTCTCTGGCCCTCCATAATTCTGTCTAGCCTGGAGGTGATTCTGTTAAGGAGCCAGGAGAGGAAGGAAGGGAAAGGAATGGTATTTGAGGCTTCCTTCCATGGAAAGAAGTAGTGATGTCATGTTCCCCAGCATGCATACACCCTTGCATGCTCACACCTGCATGCACACACACACACACACACATACACACACACACCAGCTTATATACAGGGACACAGAGAGACTTGGGGACTATACTGACACATCTACACAGACTTGAACACACACACACACACACAGATGTGCAAATGGCATTTCCCTGCCTTGCTCAGGAGATGTGGCTATAGACATACTGACCTCTCACCAGCACAGAGACAGAAAGGAGGCACACAGACACAAGCACATACATGCATACTTCTCTTTGACATGTCATGCAAAAAACAAAAGAGAGAGTTTAGTAGGCTAGTAGTCCCTGACTAGCTAAAAATCTTGGTTTCTTCTTTTGAGTCTTTCTTGACAAAGCCTAGGGGCAGGGAAAGTGTCTGTTTCCACACCTTCATGAAGCTACTCTTCCTTTCAAGCAGTTTGGTTTTTAATCTGTGAAGGGGATACTGTTCTCAGGAACTCCAAAGCACTCAGTTCCTGAGTGCCCAGGAGAGAAGGTGCTGGCGAAGTCTCTTAGGAGGCAGGGATAGGCCTAGGCTCTGTCTTCAGGGCTTCTCTATCCGAATCCCCTGAACTACTGGCCTGAGAGCGACAGAAGAATGACCCATGACATCTGGAGTCCACATTAGATCCTCTGTTCTCTCTCGCCTGGAACCCACCTGTGAGCTCTAGCCTTAAAGACAGCTGCCTCACTCCATTCCTTACTTTAGTCCAGCGTGAAAGTGTGCTTTCTGCAGCAGGTCCCGGGATGGTGCCACCTCCTAGGACTGCCCTATCCTCACTCAGCATGGAGCAGTGGCCCTGGGGCGTGTCTCAATTGGCAGCCCCGCTGTTCTGTTCTTCCTCCTCTCTCCCTCTGTACGGTTGACTGCACGGGGCTGGTAGCCTTAGAGACCAGGGAGCAGGACAGGAACTCCAAGGAAAAGATAGTTGCAGAGAGCACACACTCAGAGGTCTAAATGTGGAAGGAATGAAGAGGAAAGACCAAGTTTGTGAGGAACGGCCTAACATTTGAGCATCCAGGCTGGAAAGGAAGGTACTTAGAGCTTTATAGAGATACAGCACAGAACTCATTCCAGGGATAAAGAGCCCCTTCTGAGGCCACAGGATGGCACACAGGCCCAGAGACAGTCAGATCAGAAAGTGTCAGAGCAGAATGGCACATGAGGGCCTGGGACCCAGAGGCCAGGAGTGGGGGGTTGGCAGGAGGGTTAGTCCAGTTATTGGGTATACACAGGTACCATACCACACTCTTTCAGAAGCTCATCCGACCAGTCTCGGCAGTCCCTCTGAGCATCACACACTTTCCCGCTGTCCACGCACTCGCCACTCTTACACTGAAATCTGCGGGGACCCTCACAAGTTGACTCTGTCGGGCCAGACAAGAGAGTGCACAGTGCCTGTAAGACCATGTGTAGGAAGGGCAAGGCGGGGCCAGGCCCACAGAAGATGAATGGAGTTCCAGCATCAGCCCCCACAGGTCTCTCAGGAATAGCTCAGAGCCAGTGGAAGCTCTGCTCACAGGACAGGATCCCAGGGATAACCCGGATGCTGAACCTCATCTAGCTGGCAGGACAGGGGGGGTCGGGGGGGAGGAGGAGTATCTGTTTCTGATTAGGCAGCACTGGGGCCCTGGGAGAGACCATGCAACAGCCCCACAGAGACCTTAAAAGGCTGGAATAAGCTCAGGGAGAGGGGGGAATCTTTGTCCATTCTCCCTGATGACTAGTGTGTTAGGGTCCCCTCTGTTCATATAAAAGGCAGGTGATGACTAGAAGAACAGGATTCAGCCTTTGCTTAGTCTGAGTGAGGGAAGTCAACCCAAAGCCTGGGTGTGAACAGTTGGGAGAGGAGATGGCAGGGCCTAGATTTCCTGAAGTGACCTTTGATGTCCCCCCAGCCCCCTTTCAGTTTTTGCCCAAATCCTTAGAAATCCAGTGCCTTAGAAATCCAGCCTCTGGAACCACACAGGAGAGGGGGCCAGGTGAAGAAGGGGCAGGTGATGATCTGGGGGCAGTGTATCTAAGGGACTGAGGGGGAGCCTCTCAGCTCTGCTCTCTCCAGGTGGGGGGGGCCTGTGGGGAGACTTGTGGGGGGGATGGGGGGAGGGGGGACTCAGGAGAATGCTGCTCCTTCGCTCTGACCACACGCACCCTGCAGGCAGCCAGCTTCATCACTCCCGTCTGGGCAGTCTTGTTCCTGGTTACAGCGTTTGATCGCAAGGACACAAGTCCCATCCCCGCACTGGAACTCGTCCCCACCGCAGGCCCCTACTGCTGCTGAGAGAGGGCAAGAGGAGAGGTCAGGGTCAGTGTGGTGCTGGGATAGCTCTCCCCAGCCTCATGCTATACCCCCTGGCAAGAACACCAGTGGCTGAACTTAGGAGCCCCCTAAGGACACCTGGCCAAGGCACCTCCAGTTTACACACGGGAAGACTGAAGCTCAGAGAGGGGAACGGCCTTGTCTGCAGTCACACAGCGCTCTGACTGGCAGGGCCAGGACTAAAACTCAGGTCTATCTAACCCTGTCCATCATCTCTCAGAACAGACACGTGGCCTTCTGTGGAGTCCTGATGCTCATAACTTAATGACTTTGTCCCCTCAGTCACCTCTTCCGGAGCCAGGCATTGTGGGGAGGGGGGAATCTGGAGGCCACAAAGAGCCAACCTCCTCTCCCACGCTTCTGGCCAGAACTCAGGGGTGGAGGGGCGCTGAGGGGTGTACACAGGAGGCCATCAGCCTATGGCGGACTGTGAGCAGGCAGAAGGACCTTGAGGCAGCTCCCTGGAGGGACCTAGTCTAGCTGGAACAGTTTGTAGAATGTGATAGGCCCAACAGGGAGGGAGAGCACGTGGGAGGAGCTCCTGAGCACACAAGGAAGAGGAGGAGTCTCAGGAGGAGAGGACGCACTGAGGGCCCCTTGGTCTCGGAGACCTGAGCTCTGAGCTCCGCTGCTGAGCAGCGGCCTGACCTCGCCCGGCCCACGTCTCCTTCCTGGCTTAAAGCAGGGCCACGTGTTGCAAGGCAGGCAGGCAGGGAAAGCACGCGGAGGCCCGGCGGGCCGGCTGGGCGGTGCGGAGGGGGCTTACGGCAGTCGGCCTCGTCCGACTTGTCCTTGCAGTCGCGGTCGCCGTCGCAGCGCCAGCCCAGGTGTATGCACTCGCCGCTGCGGCAGGCGAACTGGGCGGTGAGGACGCAGGCTG